TCTTCTCGCTCCTCTCTCCGGCTGCTGTTGTTGCGCAGCAACTTTTTCCACTTCTTGTCCCAGAGGCGCGGCCACCGTTGCTGATAGGTTCGGCCTTGGCCAGCAGCGGGTCTGTCTTGGAGCCGGCCGGGACTGGCTCTCTTGGCCAATGGGGAAGATGAAGCTTCTGGCAGCTTCTCCCAGAAGCCGCCCCTGCGGCCGTCCCGCTACCAAACCCTTGCCACGTGAACCCGATGGAGGTAAGCACATACAATGGGACAGCAGTCAGCAGCCAGATTGAATTAAGTATGTTGTGTCTAGATTAGGACACCACCTCGCCTGTCGTATTCCTTTTCTGTATTCTGTTGATTTGTAGAATCATTTAGCCTAATGTGTGGCTTGCCTAATATATACCTTTTTTTTTGTCCTAGTAAGGGCCAGACATTTACTGTTTAAGATTACAGCACTTGCTCTGAATTTAGGTAAGAAATGGTATTCTTCTAGGATAGTTTCCCAAGGTCACAAATCAGGTTCATGGCCAAACCAATAATAGTAGGACACCTTTCCTTTCATTCCTCTTTTAATTAGGCTAAACAGTGTTGAAATAGCTCTGGACTGATGGTGAAGCCATTTGCTTAGAACATGCAAGCCTGTTGCTATATGGTAGAGGGAGACTTCTTGCTTCACTTAGTGCTTCTGAGATGGCTCTAAATTTTTAGGCTTCTGTGTTTTTTCAAAAAAAATTACACATTTTATAGGCTGTGATCAATTTACTAGTGGATGAGTCTATTAATATATGACAAAGAATAAGGATTTTGCAGTAGAAGCTTTAAAAAAGATTATAGATACTACATTCTCAACTATAAATGTGTGACATAAAGCGGCTTTTGTGCAAAAACAGGTAGAGCATTGCCCTAAATTAAAATTTCTTTGTGATGAAGTATAGTAAGTGTAACACCTTTACTTATATTTGACCTGGTATTGCTTAATATAGGCTTATGATACAAAATGCTGAATAATCAAGAGGAAAAGCAAATTGAGAAGCCTTAATAGTAGTTTGTAGATTTTGTTGTTGTTGTTTGTCAGCATGAACATTTTGCTCTGAAAACAATAATATTAGGCTAGTTAGGATAGAGTTAATAAATGGTAGTAGATAATGTTCCAAGTGTTAGTCAGAAAAACACGTGCATACTATTCAGAATTTGTTTTGTATTGAGAACAATAATATTATAACTCATCTATAGTTTCCATTTTCTTTTTTAAAATGCCGTTACCAAAACAAGTTATTTATAAACAAAACGAACAGAATTCCACTTGCGGGTTTTTTGGTTTTGTCTTTACTACCAAAAATGTACTTTTTTGCTGCCTTTCTAAATGTGCGTTAGTTCTTCAGACCATCTGGAATGGATATAAAAATCTCTTTCTGTACTTTTACTATCAAATAATTGTGAACAACTTTTTAAATGTAATGTGAATAGATTGTCATTAAATCTCCTTCCTAAAGTAGAGCATGCGATCTGTTAAAACTGGAGTGTACCATGATCATCTTCTGTAATGTTTTCCAAGTATGCCCTCAATCCATGACAGAAAGGGAAGCCCAGGTTTAAGGACCGGCAGTTGTGTAGCAGCATGAGTCCAGTAATTAAAGGGAAAGACTTTTAGATAGGCCGAGAAAAAAACTTAAAGATACACTTGAGAGTAAAACAGGCTTTGTTACACTCTTTTTCAAAGTTGCTCAGGTGATTGATGGTATGTATGTAGTCTCAAAAGAAACGTGTCCTTTACTCATGCAGAAAATCTTTCCGTTACGAAGTGCTGTTTTGAGTACTTCAGAAGATTTAAAGAAATTACAGTCTTTATTTTTTTTAATGGATGTTTTATGCTGTTTTATATGTGGTTATTTTCATGATTTAAATATCCATTTGCATAAATGTGAGGATACTCTGTTATTGCTCACAAGAGCGCTCACCTGCATGTCCTTATAAAACAGGCAGGGGTTTTTAGCAGTGACAGTTAAACTGAAAGTCAGAAGTTAATAAATTGATGCGTTCAGAGAAATAGTAGACATGGTAAGGGTGAATGGATTGAGCTTCTGATAAGTACTCAAAAGTTCCTACTACCTGTAAAACAGGGACAGAAAATCTTACTACATCTTGCTATCAGAAGACTTTTTTGAAAGTACTGGGGAGATAAAAAGTGAAAAGGTGGGAGCCTGTATCCTTAACTGGGTTAACCTATTGAAGGGGGTAGGGTAGTTCAGCAGCTAGAAACCCCGTATCTGACAGCGGATAAGGTACGATGAGTCAGACATACCAGCTGGTGGATTTTGGAGGACTGATCGCATCCAGGAGGGACGCGACCACAAACAGCCAAGAGCGGTGACTTCTGGTATAGGGGGGTCTGAGCCTGCCCTTGGCCTTGGTCAGTGTGCTTGCAGCTGGAAACAGGCATGTGTCTTGGGAAAGTGCAGAAGCTTTGGGAGAAGAAAATCTGAAATAATGTAAAATGAGAGGGAATAACATGTAGATTATGAAGTGGTACAGCTTTTTAACAGCAGCGTAGGATAAAGGTGTTGCCTTCTCACTGTAATGAGTATATATACAAGACTAACAGTTCCTGGTGCCTAAAACTGCCTAGTGGAAATTCCCAGGGTAATATTTTTTTATAAATTAATTATGAATACGCATACAAACAGATCAAGAAATGATCTGCTCTTACGTGGTTGTTTTTTGACGAAATTAATACAGGATACACAGTGTATATGTACGTAGCTGATTTAATACAAGCTTTGCAGAAGCATGTAGATCTGTTGTACTCAATGGACCTGTTTGTTTCTAGGGTTCTAGGTGAAATTCTGCTATTAATTCAAGTGGTTTATATCCCCGAAGGTTAAGTTTTTGGTAATAAAACAAAGATTTTATTATTTTTACCTGTTCAGCTTCTGACAAAGTAGAATCTTTAATTAATTTTTCACTATCTTCATGTCATAGCAGCATTACTGCTCAGACTTTCTTGAGTTTTGTAAATAATTTTAAACAGTAAAATCTATTTAAAATGGGCTTTTTATTATTGCTGTTAACAGAGTCCTTAGCGCTTTTTTGTCAGTAAGGCTGCACCTGTTATTTTACTTAGGGTTTAACAAAATTGTATGTTTTTTATTTACTTTTATATCCTTTTGCAGAAACAAATGTTTAAGCAATAACTGAGTTCCTTTTGTAGGCATGTATTAATTGAGATTAAACATAATTGTTTTCAAGTTGCTAAATTAGAGTGAGATATATAGGTAACTTCAAGTTTTACTTGTATTTTAACAGTGAAAGCAAGTTGAATACATTGGTGCAGAAACTTCATGACTTCTTGGCTCACTCATCGGAAGAATCTGAGGACGCAAACTCTCCTCCAGCATCATCTAAAAACAAAACCACAGGTAAAAAGGCATTTTATGTTTTTATTGTCAATGTATGTGTGATTCTACAGTCAAATAACTTTGTGGAGTTATTTCATTACATCGCACTTCACTGGGGCAACTATGAAAAGTCCTAATGTGATTTAAGTGGTGATACCTTAATAAATATACAATAGGCCTTTGATACAATATTTCTTTAAGTCCTGAATCTTCTCTAAATGTGAAAAAAAGCTAATCCTACTGGTAAGTTACCTTCTATGAAACCTGAGACAGCAAACATGCATGTATCGCTGTGCTAGGCGTTCCTTGTTCAGTTTTCCTGGATGTGTAAGGGCAGTATCTTGTTTTTTCTGCTGAAGTAAGGCTTTTGTGGTCCTCGTAGTTGTGGAAGACATTCTGGAGATTATGCTTTCATAATTACTTGAAAAAGATTCCTACATGTAATCTGGAAACATTTTAAAGCAAAATAATACTTCTGAAAAACCTTGAGTCCTGCACTAGGTCAGATTTGGTATTAGAAATTTTTACTCACAAGTTAGAAATGGGTAATGAATTTTGAACACTTTGATTACAGTCATAAAAAGTGAAATTATTTCATAACAGTACTGAGTAAAATCTGTTTCCAAACTTAACGAGGTTAAATCTGTTTCCTGGTTTAACTAGGACTGGATAAAGGCGCAGAACCTTTCAATCTCTGCTGTTTAATGAGCTAAAAGTTGTGCTGAAGTGATAGAGTATAGGAGAATGAGAGTGTGTTGGCTGTATTATGGAGTTTATTTTCAAACTCCTGTTGTCCTAAGTAATAAAATTACATGGGTTTTCTGGCGTGCAGTTGTTATCATTTAAAGTTTTGTCTTGAGAGAGAGTCTGCTGCCATGTGGTGCCAACCTCCTTGTGTCAGCATCAAACTGAACTGTTAACATAGGAAAAAGAAATTATTCATGTGATGCTTCAGCAGAATAATAAACTGTGATGTGGATGCATCTCAAAGTGAAATTTTGCTCGAGGAGCATACTGTGAAAAAAATATTTTCCATTTATCCGATGTAGTTACAAAGTAGAATTTGTTTCCTTGCCTTAAAATACAGATTTACTTTGAAATATGGGTACATTTACTAATTAATAGCAGACATGTTGCAGTGTTGTTTTTGAGATCTCAGATTATTTCTTTAGAAAGAACATATTAAAGTTGAAAAGTCAAGAATTAAACACTTAACTGTTAGGAAACACCAGAATTAACTGTGCAAATTTACTTCCAACTCCCAACTTTCTGTGCATAATGATAGTGTCTTTGGCAACTGTGCTTGGTTTTTTTTTTTTTTTTTTTTAATCCACCGGATGCTCATTCAGTGTACAAGTGATAGACATGCTTGGGGCCAAATCAGGTTTATACAGTAATGGATCTTGTTTTGTTCCAGCGTTTGGAGGATATGTGAACTACTGGGTAGAGTGTTGGGAGAAGGGAGATGATGATGAAGATGGTTAAGTGTGGCTCAAGAGACTTGGAACATGTCCATGCCACACACACAGGTCAATTAAAATATGAAGCAGTTGCTCACTGAGCACTTCGTCTTGTGCATTGCTGTGGAGCTGAACTGTACCATAATGCTTACGTGCTAGGAATGATAAGTAAAGTGGAATTGCACTGATAACTTTCATTCTGGCTTTTCTTAATTTTTGAGTACTTGATTTTACAGCTTTAATAATGTTTCTTTATCCTGTCTGCATTTGAATTGGATGTCTCCTTCCTCTACATTGCATGGGTGCCAGCAGGAGAATCACTGAGAGAATATAAATCCCAGATTTAATACTGTGTTTTTAATGTCAAGACAATGCTTTAACTTCTTACAGATTAAAAAAATGTATTAACTATATTATTCCTGCATATACAGTTGCACTTCCATTTTTTCAGTATTTCTTCACCAATGGGAAGGCTATTTCAGCCTATCAGTGACCTAACTGAAAGTAATTTCTAAGTGATTTCTGTAAAATTTATGCCATAGAGTGGACTGTGTTTTGCTGTGCAACAGTTTGTCTCTGAAAGTCACAGTCATCTCTATTCACACTGGTAAAACATAAACAATGCGATGATGTACAATGTGAAGAACTTTTAATTTTTCTTGCATTTCAATGGGTTCCTTTAATTTCTTTCCATAGGTAAAAGTAGAGAACCTAAAAGCAGTCCAGCTTCAATGGAGAACAATAGAGAAGAGGTAGGAATAAAAATGCTTTTGAATTTTAATTGTGTGACTAGTGCAGAACGGCTGGTATAGAAAATGCTGAGATCACTTTTTTCCTTTACAAGGAATACTTAAATAATATTGTCAGAACCATGCAGTAAATGTCATCATATCTGCTGAATAGAAACAATAGCTGTAAAATATTTTGAAATAAATTTAAAATTAAATTTTAAATTTTTAATGATACTCACTTTGATTTAGGCATATGCAAGCAATCCTATTTCTCCGCCTCCCACCCCTTCTTTATTTTATATTATTGAAATACAGTCATGTACTTGGACAACTTCACTGTCTTTCTGATGCACAGTAATTCCTGGGAAAAATGTCTCTAACAGTTTAGAGAGTTAGGTTTTACTTACCTGAGGTATGCAGTTGCATTTTTGTTAAGAAATGCAAAGTGTGGTTAACTGATTCAAGTTGAGTACATTGCAAAATGAGTTTTTCTTTTTAAAGAAATGTGGTTAATATTTTTATGCTTATTCTGTTCTTTGGCTTATGTGTAAACAGGCTCTTATTTTTGCTTTAAAAGAATTGGTCTCTACCTCGTATTTACACTTACACCCTGTTACTTAGATAATGGTAGGTACTTAGTTGTCCTTTAAGGCAAATATGTTGCCTTTTTTAAAAAAGGAAAAAAGATAGAGATACAGGATCTTTATGAAACAAGAGCACATTTCTTCTATATGGTATGTTACAGACATCAAAGACATTTTTCATGTGGTATGTCTTACTAATATCTACTCTCCTGCTGGAAACATTCTGGTTGACAACATGTTAAGATGTAGAGAAAGCGCAAGTGCCAGTGTCCTGCCTTAGTTTGCCTTTATTGCGGTAAATTCAGGTAGTTATTTGATAGTGCCCAAACATAGTTATGATATGCGTGCACAAACGTCTGAATCAGTTTTCATGTAAAGACAGCCAGCTCTTGCTGGAGCACGAGCCAGATAACAAGTGTCTGCATTCTGCTGGCAATTCTTGGGTGCGTACTAGTGGTAACTCCCTAGTGCCAGCCTTCAAGAGCCCTCTGTGTCTGTATGTCCAAAAAGGGGATGGTTTCTTCACATAGTGTGAAAAGCATGCATGAACCTGCATAAGCACTAAGTGCTGTGAGGAATCCTGGCGAATTGTAAAAAAGGGAAAACGCGCAGGGGTTTATTTTAGGACCCTAATTAGGATCATGATTAGGACCTATGAGCTATCATGAGCCATTCTCAGTCCCTTCTCCAGAAAGCTGAGAGACCTTTCAGGAGGTAGTGCAAGTTGAGGAAATTTTCTCCTTGCAATTCTCAATTTTGTGAAGACTCAGTACTTGAGAGTATGTGCAGTGTTTCTCTCCAAATGCTTCAACTTCTAACAGTGCCCCCTCTTAATTTCTTTTAACATACATGCAATAGGGAGGTTAGTGAGCATTAGTGATGTAGCTTAGAGTTTGCTGACACCTATTTTTAAATCTGTTTTTAAAGGAATAATGATGCCTTGGAGTGTTACTACTGATCTGAAACTGCATAGGTTTAGTTTAATTGAACTGGCATGACTATTGAAATTGTGTCACCTTTTGTTAATGCTTTTCCTGCCCTTTTGTTTTTTGTTTTTTGGTTTTTTTTTTCTGGTAAGAGTTTGTTGTTTTTCTTTCTAAGATGTGTTCTAGTTAATATAAGAAACTGTTTTTGTTGACAGGTCACTTGGTCACAAATGTGTTGATTTTTTTACATTTTTTCTTGGTTTTAGGGCAGTAGTTCTTCAGAAAGAAACAAATCCTTAGGATCATCACGTTCAAAAAGGTTGGTTTTGAAAATAAATAAATTATTTTTTGACATGTGAAACTATAGAAAAGTCGATGCACTATGCCAGATACTTTTAGTATACACCAGTACAAATCCATTAAGTTAACAGAATGCTGGTAAAAAAAATGCCTTATAGTGCACTTAAAATTCAAACCCTCTTTCAGGGTCAAAGGTTAAGATCATAAAGCTTGATTTTTATTAACAAAGACAAAAAGGTTATCCTGTATCTTCAGGACAAACATGTCTATACAGTTCCTTCTATTTCTACATACAGGATTCTTCAAAGAATGTAAATTGGGTCATACAGAAAAAAGACTTTATGTACCTTACTGTTGGGAGACTGTTGGATCAAAATGTGCTGTTAAGTTGTCCTGTCCAGAAACTGCCATTTGCTGTCTCCCTGCTTAATCCTTTTTTGCTCTTTGATTTAAAGAAGTATGGAGTTAACTGTTTACCAACCAGTTTGAGCCTACTGGAGACAATTGTTTTGTGACCTACGTAACAGCAGACTTATTCTAGTAAAACTCCTCCTCATCTTTTGCTCTCAGCTGATGCTCATTCAAGTTATGTCCTTCATGATTTTTTTAAAACCCTAGTATACTGTATAGATAGGTGAGCTCTTCTAAATGCACGATTTCAATAGCTGCCTTCTTACTGCTCTTTAAAAGTGTTGCATATCTCTTTTCACTCTCCTTTTTATCCAAGCTCATTTATTTTATCATGTCTGCTGGAATTAAATAATGTTCTCCATTCTCCCTTTTCAGTTTGTCTTGATTCCGCATTTGCAAGTGTGGTTTTATATTTGGCTTTAATTTCTCCCTCATCTTCTGAATCCAATGTTGTGCTGAACTCTTCTTCATTTATATCATTTTTACAGTCTTGTTTTTTTGCTTCCTGTCTATCACTAAAGGTATTTTCACTCCTACATTTATCATACTGTGCCTGATACTGATGAAAACGGTATCCTGCAGTAGCTCATGTATTGCTTCAGACTACTGAAAACCATGCTTCACGTTCTTTTTTTTCTTTTTCTTTTTTTTGCCTCTCCTTGCCCTGCCATAGTAAATTCATTCATTTTAATGGATTCAGTTCTAAATTATGTTTGTGTGAAATTCTGGCAACTGGTCTTTTCATTCAACAGTCAGCCTTTTCATTTCTTTCTGCATTTCCTTTATTTCCTTGGAAGCATCTTTTCGTACAAGCAGCTTTTTGTCATTAGCTAATATCTGTGTGTTCTCTTTGCGCTGCCTGTTAAACTTGGAATGATGTATAAAATTTCTGAGCAGACATTCACTTTTGTTTCATTCAGGCTTTTTTCCTAAAAGTGTGACTGTCCTACATACCTTCTTAAAACCACATCAAGCCTTGATGTGATAAAAAAAATATATCAAGCCTGTGAAACAAGAAAAACTTTATTAGTATATCATTTTATTTCATGTAGGAGGAGAGAATTCTTGTTCCTAACAACAAAATTAGTCTACAGCTTCTTTATTGCAATAACTCGGAGCATCCCACCTTATAATGTCTTAAATGAATTAAAAAAGAACATAAATTTCCCCAATTAGTGTGGTGTTTTGCTTGCAAAGCGCCAGTCTCGCCTGTATTGCAGTATGTAATGGTCATGGTATGGAGTTTTTTTTCTGTCTATGCAGGAAACCTACAATTGTAACAAAATATGTTGGATCAGATGATGAACAAACCTTGGACGAAACTGTAAATGAAGATATTTCAAATGAAAACTCAGAAAATGATGTTGATATGAAAAGCTTGCCTAAAGGTAGTTCATGTCTGTCTTTGTTTCTGCATTCAGCAAATTGGCCACAATTATGACGCAACATAAATAATTAACTAGAATGCACATGTATTAGTAAAATGCCTGTCTTAGGTCCTATTGCCTTTATATATAAACATACACGCTCATGCACCAACGCACACATGCACCCTGTGCACGCACATTTAAAAGAGGAAACCAAGCACTTTAGTTTTGAACCTGGAATACTTCAGTCTGTGGATACACCAGGATGTGCTGGTGGCTTAATTTCAAAAGTCTACTGATACCTGTATAAAACCAACATGAAACAAGGGAAATACTTTATTTCTGTTCTTTTGTAGAAGTCTCAAACTCTGTCGCTTGCAAGTCTTATTTATTTTACTGTTCTGTCTTTGAGGTTATTAACAATTGTATCAACAAAAGCAAAACTAAATCTGGGGGGGAAATGTCATTACTGGGTCTATTTTTAAGTATCCTTTTAAAACAGTTAATACTATAAGCCTACATCCCACTTTTCTTCACTATAGTGTGAGTTTGATTAATCTCTTGTATTTCTTACCTGTGAAAGTTACAGGAGAAATTGGAGGAACTGTTACTATTTCCTGCCTGAGTAGCAGTATTTGAAGGAGTCACTTTAAAATTATTTTTTCCGAGTGTTAGCTTATTTCCAGTGTCCTCACAACAAGAAGTGTTAAAACTGAGCTCTTACATGGGAAGGATGTTTTTTTATTCACATAATTTTGATTAGTACTCTTCTCTGTTTAAATAAGAAGATAAATTTCTGAATTTAGTTATAGACAGAACAGGTTTTGCTCTGTTGCTTTTTCATTTATTTCATGCTGAAATAAATTGAGATGAGGGAAACTGGATAGAAAGGGGGGAAGAGTGAGAAGAGAGTAGTTATTCTAAGGCTTTTGATAGATTTAAGTGACCTAACCCAAGTCCTTTATTTGTAGCATTGCACTGCAAAGTCCTGTACTACACGCGCCCCGCAGTATGGCAGTCCTGTTCTGCACGTACCACATCAGGGCAGAGAGAGCAGAATTTGCTCCTCATAGCCCAGTCAGTCTTTGGCTTTTGTCCTACAACTGCAAAACAAGATGTAGTTTGAAGTGTGCGGTGGTTATTTTTGTTATGGTTTGGGTTTTATTGAGGTTTTTGTGTTGTTTTTTTTCCCGTGAACATCTGTGCATTCAAGACTTTTTGGAGTTTTAGTCAACAGATGGCACTTTTGTTTTTGTTTGGTTTTGTTTTTTTAAGGTACTATATTGGCTTTTATTATCTCAGATAGTAAAGCACTTTACTTGCAAGAGAGAAACAACAATATGTTTATTTATTTAGAACAGCAATTTAACAAAGTCTGATAGTGAATGCAGCGGTGGTTTAACAAGGTTCGATGGCAAAGTACGCTGGATTATCTACTGCATACAGGACAGGGTCAGAGAAAACTGTCAGGGAGACATGACTCCTCTTGAGTCATGAGGTTCAGAAAGGACCTCCTTGCTCTCTAAACTCCTTCTCGGAGAGGAGTCTAGGTGCAGCTGGATCCAGTCCGAGTCCCAGACTTGGTCAACGGTTTATGTCTGAAGGAATAGATATGCGCAATCAATCCTTTCTATCTCTTAGCTAAGATTTGAAAGTTTAGCATGCTGTTAGTCGCTTACTGAGGATCTTGTTGCAGCAAGGGATCTCTCAAGCTTGAGGAGTAACCTTGAGAGGCATCCCTACTCAAGGGGAGATCCTGGCGTGCAGCCTGCTGTCGTTTCAGGAGAGCTGAAGGGGCTCTGGGCTGTCCCCTATTTGTGGAGTAAGATGATTGACTTAAACTTGCATATTTGCATACCAGCAAGATATCTGGGTCACTGCTCCAGACAGCCCTTGGTCACTGTGTTGCCGTGCATCTCCCCAAAGTCCAACTTAAGCTGGATGTAGTCATCATGACCCCCGCTAGTGGTTATTGCTGGTGCAGGGGGAGCACACCCTCATCTCTCCACGCTCCACCTCATGACTACAGTCAATTTATTTTACCCTCACAGTGTGGTGGTATGGTCACCTCTTGCCTCTGTACCTTAAATATGATGTTGATAGTTGGTGCAGTTACAGATCCATGGTAAGTAGATAGCGAAGTGCTGATACTTGTTATTTGTTAATTCGTGTGTTTTGGGTGGTTGAAGTTGGGTTATTTGTTTTATCATGTACCAAACCTTTATATACAATAAAATTACTAGCAATAGACATACTAAGGATAGAACTGGTAAAATCACAACTGGGTGAAGCATATGATTAAACACTCCTGTTGCTATTGGTGACCATCCAAGAAGAGTTTCCCACCAATGGTGTTCATCCTTCTTCACTCTTTACAAGTCACGGTGTATCTCTCTGTATCATGAAGAACAGTGATTAAAGTTTTGTGTCCATTGTTTTGGATGTGTTCTAGCAGTTGACAGAGGTCATGATGTTGTAGTAGTTTCTTCACCACTGTAAGATTCATTCCAATGGGGGTAATCATTAGATTGTAACAACTGATAAGATGTAACGGGAGCTGAATAATTAAAATCGCATCCCGTAACTTTAGAAGAGTTACAAACACAAATATTTGAGTGATTGCTCATATCTAGAGTAATGTTATCTACAAATACGTAATCACAAAGGGTTCTCATGCGAACACATCCTTTTCCAATATGTACAAGTACAGATTCACGGGTTTCATGGGGATGCATTTCAAAATGACAAACACTTTGTTCAGTGTTAGGACAAATGTCTTGGGCTTTGATAGTGTTACTGTCACAAATAAATACTTGTTGTTCCTGTACAGTACATGCATTAACATCAACAGTTTGCCATTTGTTTCCATTTCGTTGCGCCCATACTCTATGTTCTAATGGATAAGGCATAGCTCCATTGAGATTTGATCCTAACGCAATGGTTGGGTATGTGGTGTATACCGAAGCCTGGTGTTTGGTTAAGACAAAAGCTGTGGCCTTATTGTTGATGGGGTCATAAATCAAATTGACTAAATACCACCAGGATTGGAATTCTTGTTCAAATTTAGTTGCATTATCCCAAATTACCTTTCAAATTTTGATGGGTAAGGTGCCTTCTTCACCTTCTCTTATAATTGCCACTGCCATAGATTGCATTCACAGTTGAGCTTGAGTACAACTAAGAACTAGTGAAACATTATTTTGGGCTGCACCGAGTGCATCCACAATCAGTTGGTGGTCCCTTTCGTTAATTCTTTCCCACTGAGGCACTATATCAAATAAGAGCCATGGGTTAGGTCTCAATGCTAATCGAGAAGATGGCAGTGGGTGTTCTCATTTGTTTAAATCACTTGTTGTGCTCAGTTTATTTATGAGTACTTGGGCATCTATAATATTTAAGACTCAAATCCTGTCCCTATGATACCAGTCACATCTCTCCTTGGTTGTCTTGGAGAGATGAGAGTTTGCTCACGTAACCATGCTAACCATCCTGCATAGGACTTATTTAGGAACGGTGAACAGGTTGGTTTGATTGTAGAGATACTAATTTGCGTCAGTAGTTCTGCTCGTTTAAGAGACCATGATGGATTAAATAACACTCGTTGGCCTGTATTTTTGATCACCTATGGTCCAATTTCAGAAATTTGTGGGGATAGAGTTGTCTTATCCTTTACAGTCAGAGCAGATGTTGTACTAAGCTCAGTAATGTCTATTTTAAATATAAATGATAGTCCCCTGTTACGGTGAGCCCAGAGGCAGACTGCAAAAACAGGTTGTACTAAGGTAAATTCTACCAACAGTCCAGCCTTTCACAGGCACAGAGTTTTGGATCTTTTGCTGTTGGGCTTGATGTAATGTTGTGCACAGAAATCTGAGATGTCTTCTCATGGGTAGACCCACTGATCATCCAGCATCCTATTTTAATTTCTTTCCTTGCTGTTCCCCGAAGTCAGAGAACTTTATCATCAGCTTCATCTTTATCCCAGCTCCATTTGTTTTCTAAGTATATTTCAGTTCCATGCATGACAATGGTGGAAAGCTTTATATCTCCCTTACTAGAGTGTATTCCCGTACTCCTGGTGTACTTAACATGAGCTTGAGACCACAGGTTAGGAGAAGCAGCATTGTTAGGGTTTGGAACAGTAACATGAACACAGCATTTCTGATTGGCATCCTGCAGGGTGCTGTAAGAGAAAACAGAGACTCGTTCTGGTCGGGAGAGTCCAAACAGGTTACCCCATTAAGAAGAAGGAAAAATCCATTGTGCATTTACTTTGTGTTTTGTACCACTACTATTAGTACCTTTCCAGGCAAGTGGGCCATGAGGTTTAGTTAAAGTCAGAGGCACAGTACCTATGGATGGTAGATTGACCATCATAGGCTGTTCTGGCTGTAGTGTATTCTCTTTTCCTAGTAGATGGAGCACTAAGCTCAGTTTTTACAAAGAATGCCCCTTGGTTTACAGGGTTTCCAGTAGGCCCATAACAATTATTTGATTGGAGTGCTTTGGGAAGTCTCATATCCCATTGAACCTCATGTGGTTTGAGATTCCTTTTCAATAGGCCATTAGCTCTTTCTACCATCCCATTCTATTGATGATAGTATGGGATGTGGAATACCTATTTAATTCCCTCTTGTTTTGCCTAATCTCACACTTCCTTACGTGAACAGTGTGAGCCATTATCACTTTGGATAACATCAGGAGTAGGTAGATTTTAGAATGAAAATGATAGCCCTCTGCCAGAGCACTTAGTCACCAGAAACAAGCTGGAGACTACTTCATCCCTGTGAGGATGTATTGATATCCTGTAGAGGATTTGAACTGTCTGATATAATCATATTGCTGCGTAGACCATAGACGTTTTCCCTTCATTGATACGTAGAGGTGGTGCTTTAGCAGGATGATCTGTTGGTAATTTCAGTCTACACTGGGGACGTTCTGTAAGAATAGTTTCACACGTTTTTCTGTTTATAGGCCAGCCTTTACTCTGTGCAGCAAAGTAAAATGCTTTGTCACCTGTGAGACCTAGGTTTTGACGTAACCATTCTCCCCATTGATACCACTCGGGAGTGAAGGTGATGTTCCTAATTTCAGTTATTTAATCTACCTTTTGATTTCACTTTGTGCTGGTTGGTTATTCTTAGCATGAGCCTTTACCGATGCTATCTTGAAAGGTGCGTTTTTGGCTATATCTAATAATAATTGCTAATCTTTGTTTTTCCAAACTGGGGATCTATTTACTTCCCAATTCAGGGTTTCCCATTGACAGAGCCACTGTATGGCACCAGCCCACATAGCATGAGTCTACATATATCCTTTTTTCTCCATTCTGTGCTGCCAAAACAACTGCTTTTATTTCCTCTGCTTGTGCACTGCCTTCACCTTCCTCTATTACTTGTTTGCCAGTGCTAATACCTAATACAATGGCCTTATATTGCCATTTACCTTTTTTGCTGAAGCATCTGTAAACCACACGTTTTCTGTTGGCATACCTTTGGTGAGGGGCAGTGGATCCCAAATGGGTGAAGGTTTAAAAGGCAGTTGTAATGCTAAAGGATCTGTGTTTATGGGCATCTGCAATTTGGAAACCTTAGTGTTGTCTTTCAGTTAATTGTATGTTTTCTGCAACTCCTGTTAGGTAGGCATACTGTTTTCTTATATTGGGTTTTTGTGCAACTCCTTCTGGGGGAGCAGTCCCCTTTAGGGTTCCATCTATTAAATTAAATGGTCCTCTAGTTTTCACAGGTTGTTCCTGATGTATTTTCACAACTTGTTTAACTGCTCGGACTAAGGAGGAAAGTCCCTTTTCCTATGCAGAATATCGTTGTTCAGTTTCTTCAAATGCGGTTGAGCTAAACAATAAAGGCCTTTTTGGCCCATCGGGGCCAATTTGGAACAGGTTACACTAAGTAGCGTGTTCAGTGAAACCCCGTTTGCCTATAATAGGGTCGCAGAGGTGTACTGGTCACAGTGACTGATAGGTTTTTAATTCTAGTTCTAATTAAAGAGTTCAGTTTTGACTGCCTCTTCATGCTCTAATTTCCACTCCCAGGGTTTGCCTTTCTGTAAGAGTGAGTGTAATGGATGGGAAAAGGTAGAAAATCAAGTTACATGCTTCCTCCAATATCCTAAAGTTCCCATTAATTGTTGTAACTATGTCCTTGATTGGGGCATTTGCAGCTCTTCAGTTTTTCTTAAGGTAGCTGGAGGAATCACTGCATGGCCCACTATCCACCAAGTACCTAAAAGCTTTACTTGGTCCCTGACGTTTTCTAGGTGGACTCTCAGTTTCTGCTTTATTTAGTGCTTGCCACACTGCCACTGCTGCTTCCCCCACCATCTCAGAGGAGGTTCTTCCAATCCAAGTATCATCTACCTATTGCTATGGTTTCACATCTTGAGGAAGTGAGACTGTCTGTAGAAGTTCAGCAAGTGCGGCATGAGCATTTGTGGTGAATGTTTATACCCCTGTGGGAGTCTGTTAAAGGTATATTGTGTTCCCTCCCGACTGAAAGCAAACTTCTCTTTATCCTCCTCCTTCAAGGGAACCAACCATGAAGAACATACCTTCTACATCTAGCGTGGCCATCCACGGGTGCGCAGCTGCTTGCAAAGTAGCTGTGAGATTTGCCATGTTCAGTACAGCAGCCGTCAGTGGGGCTGTATTAGCATTTAGAGGCTAATAATCAATTGTTAAATGCCAGTTCCTGTCCAATTTCTGAACTGGCCAGACTGGTGAGTTATACAGGGAGTGGGTTATGGAGATAATTTGTCATTTCTCCAAATCAACTATGACTTCAGAAATTCTATTTTTGTGTCTCTGCAGAAATCTGATATTGTGGTATGTTAGTAATTTTTGAATCAGGGAGTGCAGGGGCTGCGCGAAGTACACGCACTCTAGCTTCCCTATTTCTACCAGGATTGGAATTCATGTTTGAGCCGAAGAACCACACTGCCATTTGGCAGGCACCAGGTTTGCCCTTTTAAAACATCGAAACCTAAAGTATTTTCACGATGTTCTTTAATTGCAAAGCGAGCATACCACGTGTTTCTCGCCCAGGAGCCATAATTTGACTTTGGCAGTTTGACACACAACACTGTTCACACTGGTAATCTTAACTCTCCGCTGTCCAGATGGTACGCCCAGGTTCTCAGCATCTTGTTGTGTTAGTATTGAAATTTGTGCTCCCATATCTATTTAAAACTTCAGCAATTGTCCATGAGGACTAACTGGAATTAAAATGTATGGGCCATCATATTTATCCACTGGTAAGCCTCCACTTTCCAGACAGGCAGGCCCAGTTGCCTTCTGGACACTACTTGGTTTTTTGGCATCATGCCCTGTAATTCTTCCCTAAGGGGGAGGAAGGGGTTGTCTCTTTTTCTAGGGACTGGTGCTAGAGGAGTTGATACATGCTTCTCGCTTTCACTGTTACCTCAGTTTCTGACAGGGCTCTGGGAATGCCTAAGGCTAACACATTCCTCCATAATTAGGTGCTCTTCCAAGGTCTTCCCAGTTACACCGATTGTCAGGAGCCCATGGTCCTGAGAAGCTGGGACTAGGATTCGCTCTGTGCCTCCGTAAATAATCAGTGATGCTACTTGCCATCCTGCTGACTATGCCAATTTGTTGCAGATAGTGATTGCACTTCACTTGCCAGACAGAAGCAACAGTATGTTTACTGATAAAAAACAGCAATTTAACAAAGTCTGATAGTGAATGCAGCGGTGGTTTAACAAGGTTCGATGGCAAAGTACGCTGGATTATCTACTGCATACAGGACAGGGTCAGAGAAAACTGTCAGGGAGACATGACTCCTCTTGAGTCATGAGGTTCAGAAAGGACCTCCTTGCTCTCTAAACTCCTTCTCGGAGAGGAGTCTAGGTGCAGCAGGATCCAGTCCGAGTCCCAGACTTGGTCAGCGGTTTATGTCTAAAGGATTAGATATGCGCAATCAATCCTTTCTATCTCTTAGCTAAGATTTGAAAGTTTAGCATGCTGTTAGTCGCTTACTGAGGATCTTGTTGCAGCAAGGGATCTCTCAAGCTCGAGGAGTAACCTTGAGAGGCATCCCTACTCAAGGGGAGATCCTGGCGTGCAGCCTGCTGTCGTTTCAGGAGAGCTGAAGGGGCTCTGGGCTGTCCTCTATTTGTGGAGTAAGATGATTGACTTAAACTTGCATATTTGCATACCAGCAAGATGTCTGGGTCACTGCTCCAGACAGCCCTTGGTCACTGTGTTGCCGTGCATCTCCCCAAAGTCCAACTTAAGCTGGATGTAGTCATCATGACCCCCGCTAGTGGTTATTGCTGGTGCAGGGGGTGGGGGGAGCACACCACCACATTTTATTTAAACAGGACTTTTGCACTTCATTTGGATGTGTAATGGTTTCCAATTTCTAAATAAAATTATTCTAGGTACAGTGGTTGTACAGCCTGAGCCAGTGCTGAATGAAGACAAAGATGATTTTAAAGGGCCTGAATTTAGAAGCAGAAATACTGTTAAAATGAAACCTGAAGCTCCCAAAAAGCGTGGAGGTAAATACAATTTAAAACATTTATTAAAACGGGAAATGTGCTTGTGCATACATATCGGCTCATGCATGATTTTAATCACATTTTGAGCATTGACGTTTTCTCTAAATTATTAATCTTTGAAAGTCAGTTCCATTCTATTCATGCAAGATGTCCTATTCAGCCTATAGGAATGTTTTTTCCATTTGTGTTTATAACAATTTTACAGGACGTCCAACAGAAATCTTCAGGGGTATAGTGTTAACAAGATAGGACTCTTCTGCTTGAATTCAGTGGTCTGTGTCTACATCCCCATGACAATTCATGTGACCTGCCCTTCCAGTCTTTTTTTTTTTTTTTCCCCCCATCCCTGGAGAATTTGCAGGCCTTCCCTTGTGTGTCTGGACTGGTTACTCATATACTGGTGCCTGACATAAGAGAATAGTTCTGGAAGGGGCATCAAGAGTTTCTTTAAGCCATACCTTTATCCAGGGCACACTCAGCTGTATCTGTGGCACTACTGATGATTTTGGCTTCATTTTAAAGCTATCCAGTAGCTGTGTTAAGCTCCTGTCAACTTTCAGGGAAATTGGAATAGGTAGTGCCTTCTCCTGCGTTGTTCCCGTTTTCAGACCAGGAAAGGTAGCCAGGTCAGGGACATGACTGCAGTCTACCTCAAGAGCAGCTGGATCAAAACAGTTTTATTTTGTGTCATGCACGGAAGAGGTAGTGCAGATCCATTTATTCTACACCTGTGTACAGCAAGTGTAGTTTACATGAAATGCTACTTACCTTTCCCTTGCTACTAGATTGAGGTGCCTAGCCTGTGCATGTATAAAGTTAAGCATTACTGGTTGAGCAGGTAAAGTGTGTAGTTCCAGCTACTTGAGATCCTGAATTCTATGGACAGTGAAAGTAAATAGTAACAATTAAATAACAAAGTCAGTCTATCTTGTTGTTTGCAGAGTGCATCTTTGCATTTTCATTAGGAGTTATATGTCCTGTTTATATTAGAAATAGTGGTAGCAATAGAACTCTTGCCTTTCTAGCATCCAAATGCTCTTATCCAAGACTGTGAGAGGCATTGTGACAGTCTTTATGTTTTGTGTCTGCAGAATGGTTATGATTGTATTTTTTCTAATAAACTCGTAGTTAGGAATGTTTTTTAAGTAAGTATTTTTTCGGTATTAATGAATTAGTAGTTGCTTAATTTCTTTGGATTATCATCATTTGTAGTAGTAACATGCTTTACAAAGGTTTGCCTCATAAATTACCCTTTTTATTTCTGGTGCCAACTTGCAGATTTTAGGAAGGAGGCAGTAGTGCTTCCCCTTAAAGTTGTAGAGAAGGGGGAAGTGGCTTGGGACTTGACAGTGAATAGCTTGTTCTCCTTCGGTTGGCCGTTACCCTCTGTGATTCTTATACCCATTTAAGGCCTGTGATGTTTGACAAAGCCTGGGTAGGCTTCTGTGCTGCTTGGTACAATAGAATGGGGTATTCTTTTCCAAGTAGCATGATAGGATGGATGCGTTTATTTGAGGTTTACCAGCAGGTGTTTGAACTGTTTTTGAGGTCATAAGAAGTGCTTTGCAAGTCCATGAGCTGTGCAGTATGTGCAATCATGCATGCATTGAAGGTGAAAACAATTAATCTTGTATTCAAAATTTCAGACCTGCTATTTTCACTGAATTGTAAGGCTGTATTAGTTGTTCTTACTGGCCTGTAAGCTATCGAGATTGTGCTTCAGTAGCAAATTGCTAGTAGCTTGTATTGTGTCTTGAAAACGTTCATGCAGTTCCTTAACATTGTGGTGTTGGTACTTGGTTCTAATTCTGTGGTAGTGATCATTTAAAATAAAAAATAATTTAAAAAATACATAGTCTGTACTCAGGCTATAATAATTGTTAACCATTTGAGTTAATTTCCTTATACTATTTACTGAACATGACAGCAAAGGACAGGTCACAGTTAAGTGATCCCATATCAAACCTCTATTTGCTTGACCCTAAATTAGGTTTTTGAAAGTGTATGAACTGAATGCATGAGCTTTCACAAATTATTTTCCTTTTTCTTGAAAGCATAATTGCTGTTAAAAACAACGGTCTCATAATATTTGTTAGTCAGTTTAACAGCCAGCTAATAGCGAGCCTCCCAACCCCAAGTTGACCGCCTTTCAACGTGAATTGGGGGATTGACATTAAAGAAACACTTTCTTGACCAAATGGAGATACAGCAGCAGTGTGGTACACAAACTGTGGGAGCAATCAGCAAGATGGTGAGAACATATGTATTATAGCAAAATTGTAGTTTCAAAAAAACCCAAACAAATAATGAAAACCCACCATCAAGAAGGGAACAAAAAGTGAAAAAAATATTTTTTGGGCACTATTATAAACTATTTCATGCATCTTCTGTAATGGTCTCCCATATTTTTCTTTGAGAAACTAAAACTGTATGTGAAAAAAATACCATAATACAAACATGTTCATAAAATACCATTTTAATTCACAGATTAAATGAAGAAGGTTGTACAGAATATCAGGGCTGCTTTGAAAGAGTTTTAGTGATGACTCTTATTTCGGTGTGTTCTCATGAAGTGACGAGTTAATCCAAATTAAATCTCTCAAAGCAAAAAAATTGTATCTTGGCCCCAAGTGGAGTATAGAAGTTAGAGGAAAATTCTTTCAGTCTTTAGATGGCGAGCGGTTACAGAAAGATTTCTGTAATGCTGGGTGGTAAAGTAATAAAGGCATATGAAAAAGCTAACAGGCCAAAATACTGTAAGACAATGAAATAGGTATATACAGATTTCTTTAAAAAAAAAATGAAAACAATTAATGTGTGGTTTATAATCCTCTCTATAGAGGAAGGACTACATGGAATTGTAAGCTGTACAGCTTGTGGGCAACAGGTGAACCATTTTCAAAAGGATTCAATCTATAGACATCCTACACTGAAAGTTCTTATTTGTAAGGTATGTGGTAAACAGTTCTACAGTTTGTACTGTTTGTTTTTGTTTGTAATAATGTCATATTAGTTGATTTGGGTGGGATTATTGTGGGAGTAGTTCTTGTTTATTAGCCAATAAACTTTTCAGTCATTAATCATTTTCATGTTACAATTAAGGAAAATAAAAGCAGAAAACAAAAAGGCAAATACAGCTTACAAATTTATATTCCTGATTTCTCACACTCTAGTTAAACTCATTGTGGTTTCATTGTAATTTATTTTCACAGTTTTTAAGGCTATAATTTTAGTTAATTTTTTTAATGTTAAATGATCTATCTGAAATTTCTGCCTACTGATAATGTATTATAAGAGCAGATTCAATTCTGGGTCTCCTGGTACAGCATTGTATGTAAAACAACGTCAAAATAAGAAGCGGAAAAGTAGCTTTTAAGCCATCTCGGTTTCGCTTGTGTGCAGCTCCTGGCCTGTTTTAATTTGTGGCAGCCTCTGTAATGATGGTCTAGTCCATAGCCCAAAACCAGCACCTGGGTCTTCAGCTACATGGTTTCATGGTGGCTTCAGTTAGGCCCTAAGCTGCCTGCAATGGGAAGAGGTGGGGAACAGGGGAGGAAGGAAACATCCCTACCTCCCGTTTTGGAGACCTCTTTTAATTTTCAAAGACATATATATAGATACCTCTCTTGCATATCTCTACAGTTGTAGAGATTCTGTATTTATAAAGGTATCTCTAAACAGAGAGAGATACAGATCTGTGTTATGATGCACATTTAGCATTCCCCTTCTCTTCCTTCTGCTTCTCCCCCAATTCCCAATTAATGTTACATATTCAGCTGATGTACTATCTCAGACATGTCCATCTAGTCTAATGTTCTGGCTCATTTCTTCCATTCATTCTGGCTTGTTTCTTTTATGAAATGTGCTTTAGAAAAATCAGCTTACAAGGCGACTGTTTTCAATCTTCGCTGGAATCCTAACTCTTGTTCCGAGCCGTGAAAATCCTTAACATGTAGCTCTACATGTTCTTGCAATGCATGCAAGTTATCTGGTTCATTTTTGAAACTTGTTTAGGGTGTTGGGTTCAATAGCAGCTCTTGACTGTGAGCTCTGCTAGATAATTACATCACATGTTGTTTCCCGTAAATTTTCTGTATCTTTACTTAACTGAACATGGCCTCACATTAATGTGAGAGAGGAATGAAAGTCCCTGATCTGCATACCTCATGTCTGACATTGTTTCCTGTGCCTAGTTCTTTTCTTGTTTTTCTCTTGCTTAGGTATACAGTCCCAGACTTAGAAGCTGTTTTCCTTTGACTATAAATGTTCTGTCAAGTGTCTAAACATCATCTTTTACTGTTTGTTTCTTTTTGTTATTGTTGGTTTAGTTTAGTTAACAGGTTTAGTTTAGTTAAACAGTTTATCTGCTCCAGATAAAGGGGCGTCATCATTTTAAATTCAGGAGCTGAAGCCTCTTCTGGATTCTGAATTCACTGGATAAAAGGACAGAATTTAGCCAAAAACTTGTATTAATCCCTATTCAAAATAGGGCTTCAAGTCTGGGAGAACTTTCTTTACTAGCAACTGGAAAAAAAACCCCACGCCTTCAAAATTTGGTTTAAAGAATTCAGCAACTAAAGCTACTGCTACTACAAGCTGAGTTGTGTGTATTTCTTTCTTACTATTACCAATTTTTCAATAAAAGTGCTTAGTTTGCATCAGAGAATAGAAGTCTTGGATGTTAACATCAGGACAAATACCGAAGACCTTTTTATTTAAAGCCATATGGGATCGATTGCTAACATAAGGAGTGTACAGCTGAAAATTTGCATCGGGGAAGATGTGGTATTGATTTACGTAGGAAATACATGGAAAAATCCTGCAGATTTGAAGAGAAATGTTCAGCTGATGTTCTAAAATATGCAAATATGCAGCCATCAAACAAAAGCCTATTTAATTTTTAAATAAACCTTGAGCCATCTAAATAAGAAGTCATGGTTTAGGACCTGTTGTGTGTATTGAAGATATTTTTTAGATAACCGCAAATATAAAAGGGTTAGAATGCTGAAGACCTTGCACCTGCCGCTTTTAATGGCTTGCTTCTAATACACGCTGAAACTGTATGAATTACTGAAGTCCAGTTGAGATTTAATAAAAAAATTCCTTGTCCTGTCTCTTTCTTTACAGACTTGCTACAAGTACTACATGAGCGATGACATTAGCCGTGATTCAGATGGAATGGATGAACAGTGTAGGTAAGTGTACAAAAACTAAAATAACACCTACAGTTCTTCTGGATTGGTTTGGGTTTTTTTCTTGCAATAATGAAATTACTGACAGGTAAAAACCAGTACATAAGAGGTTAATTAACAATTGTTTCTCACCAAGAAATGCTCAACCCCAGGGATTTTGTAAATATTTGATTGTTATTTTAGTAATTAACAAAAATATTTTGTAAAGACATCCAATAGCAAAGACTTGTAAGACATCACTTTTTTAACTAAGTAGCGTGCCACCTTACAAATACTTGAAAGGTAGGGAAGAATCTGGCATTCTAAACCTCGCAAGCCACAGAAACTTACTTTTCCAGATGCATCTCCCACTTTTGAAATATTGAAGTACTTCTCTGTCCTTATGTCAAATATCTAAATGTCTAATCCAGTCAAATTGTGAAGTCTGTGATGCCTATGAGCTTACTTTTCAGACATTTTTCAGGTCTTCATCAAACACTATGCAATCTAGACATAGATCAAAACCCATATATTTTATTTTCATATGCAGCTGCAGTTGTAATATACTAGTTAAGGCTAGAAAGACTTAAGCTAATTAATTTTGCTGTAAAATAAAAGAAAGCATTATTATTATCATTCTTTTTTAATTCTCAGAAGAAACATAGAAAAGAAAAATTCAATTAATTTTTTTCTCTTATTTAAAATTGATGCTGAAATTGTGTTTGGATATTACTGACCATTTCAGCTTTGTGAACTATTAATCTAGTTCTGTAATTTTCTGACTTTGCAATTCCCAATTGAGTGCTTTTCGGTCATGCTTTTAGTAATGTTTTCAATTAATTAATACTTGTTTATCACCTGAATTTTTAAAATGCAAATTCTTTATCAAATAGTGACAAATATGTAAACTTCTCAAATTTGTCACCTTGTTGATATAGAGATAAGGCTCTTACATTTCTTATGTCTCATTTCAGGTGGTGTGCTGAAGGTGGAAATTTGATTTGCTGTGACTTTTGCCATAACGCCTTCTGTAAAAAGTGCATTTTGCGCAACCTGGGTCGAAAGGAGCTATCGACTATACTGGATGAAAATAACCAGTGGCACTGCTATATTTGCCATCCAGAGCCTTTGTTGGACTTGGTCACTGCATGTGACAGTGTCTTTGAAAATTTAGAACAGTTACTGCAACAAAACAAAAAAAAGATCAAAGTTGAAAGTGAAAAAAGTAAAATATATGACCATACAGTCAAGTTTTCTCCAAAGAGAAATAATTCAAATTGTAATGGGGAAGAAAAAAAATTAGACGATTCATATTCAGGTTCACTAACATATTCTTATAAAGCACTAATGGTGCCAAAAGACTTGCTTAAGAAAACAAAAAAGCTGGTTGAAACTACAGCAAATCTGAATTCTAGCTTTGTAAGCTTTTTGAAAAATGCTGCAGAAAATGTAGAAATAAGCCCAACTGTGCAACTTTGTCAGCTAAAAGCTTTTAAATCTGTGTTGAGTGACATGAAAAAAGCTCATCTGGCACTAGAAGAAGGTCTGAACCTGGAGATACAAGCTTTGAATGTTAAAATGAAAGATAAAAATACCAAAGAGAAAAAAACTGATGTTAGATCAGAAAAAAATGAGGTGAACAAAGATGAAGGAAAGGAACATGTGGCATTAAAAGAGGATGACACTGTAAAGACACAGAAAAAAGTTGTATCTGAACAGCCTGACGGTGAGCCCATGGATCAAAGTGTTCCAACAATGGAACAAACGGATAACAAGCGTACTTCTGGTGAAGATAAAAGGTCCGGCAGAAATGACGAACCTCAGTATGAACCTAATAGTACAGAGGCTTTAGACATGGACATAGTATCCATTCCCTCATCTGTTCCTGAAGATATTTTTGAGACTCTAGAATCTGCTATGGAGATTCAGATTACATCAGACGAGCAAGACAATGGAAATACAGGAACAGATAATGAGACTCTAAATTCAAATACAAAGCTGAACACTCCTGTGAAAGATAGCAAAGGTGGTACTAAGTTAAAATTATCAGCTAAAGGAACAAAAGAATTGATTGTAAAATTGACTCCTGTTTCCCTTTCAGAGTCTACAGTTAAAGCTGAGGATCAAGACAGCAATCTAGAAAAGGGAAGTAAGGATGTTGATGTAATACCTAGAGCAGAAAACTGTGATTCTGTAAAACAGAATCATAATGCTGGCAGTGAACCTTCCGTAGAAAACGAAACTGTCTCAGTTGTAGAGGAATCTGATCTCAGGAGATCACCACGTGTGAAGACCACGCCTCTGAGGCGCCAAACAGACATCAGTCCTTTAACATCAAATTCAGAAGAAGATAGCAATGACACGTCTAATGAAAAACGTAAGAGAAACTCATCAAAACAACCAAGGAGGAAAAATGATAAAAGAAATTCTTCTGACAGTACTGTTGATGGTCCTAGCCCTAATAAACTTTCTAAATCAAAAAAGCCATATGTATTAGACCATAGCTCGGATTCTGATGAGATGCCAGCTGTTCTTAAAGAAGTAGCTATGATGAGTCACAGTTCTTCAGATATTGATAGCAATAGTGAAGCACCAACAAATGATCAGAACACTTTAAATTTTCTAAAGAATCAACCAGTAAAGGATGAAAACGGAAAACGAAAACGAAAAAGTTCCAGTTCTGGTTCAGATTTAGATGCTAAAAGAGGCAAATCAGCAAAAAATTCCGCTACTGCTAAAAAGAAACGACAGAACTATTCAGATTCTTCAAACTATGATTCTGAGTTAGAAAAAGAAATAAAAATACTGAGTAAAATTGAGTCTGCAAAAAAAGCCAAGAAAAAATACTCACGAAAAGAAGATAGTTATGATTCCTCTGAAGAAGAGCAGAGGAAAAAAGTAAGTAGTAACAGAAAGGTAAATTTGAAGAAACAGAGAGAGAAATCTTCTGAAGATGATGATGCTGAAAAGTCTTCCCCGGAGAAGGAGATTAATCATTCTTCTAAAGATAAAAAAACTGGTAAGGGATCAGCTGCCAAGGAAAGGATGAACAGAGACTTGAAAGAAAAAACTGTAAAGGGAAAGCATGATGAGTCTTCTGATGTTGAGAAGCCTTTACTGGAGAAAGAGGAGAGTAGTCCTAAAGGTGTAAAGCTAATTGATGTTAAGAAGAGCAAGGATTTGAAAAAGAAAAAGGCACAGGAAGGTTCTTCTTCAGAGGGTACTGAGAAATCTGTAAAGAAAGAGCATGATTTTGATTCTTCAAAAGACAGATTCAAGAATAAAAAAGGATCAGAAAGCAAAGTGAAGAAATCTGAAAAATTGAAAAAGAAAAGTTACAAGAAAGAACAAGATGATTCTTCTTCTGATGTTGAAAAGTCATCTCTAGAGAAAGGAAGTTGCAATTCTTCTGAAAATGACAAAACTAAAAATGAACCAGTGTTTAAAGAAAAGAAAAGGAGGAATTTGAGAGAGAGAGTATCTAAAAGAGTGCAGCTTGATTTATCCTCTGATGCTGAGAAATCTCCCCTGAAAGAGGAGAGTTCTTCTGAAGATGCTGTGCAGAGTAAAAACCAAACTGAAACTAAAGAAAAGAAAAAAATAAGTCACAAAAAGAAAATTCCCAAGAAAGAACAAAACGACTCCCTGTCCTCTTCTGATGAGGAGTCTTATGAAGACAGTAAGAAAAAGATGAAAAGGGGGTCAATGAAAGAAAGTAAAAAAAGTAACTTAAAAAAGAAAGTGTCAAAAAAGAAGGTGGTTGTCACTTCCTCTTCCTCATCTGATAAGGAAGAAAGTGATGAACATCATTCAACAGGTGATGGAAGCAGCGATGAGCAGAAAATTATGCCAGTGACTGAAAACTTAATGCTGTCTGCTGGTACAGGATTTTGTCAGTCATCAGGTGTGCAAAAGATACTCATCTACACATATTACAAATCTCCTCTCGTAGTATATTAATAAGATTTGGGTAACATTTAATAATCTAGAATTGAAAATATTTGAAGTAGGTAATTACACATTTAAAAGTTTGCAGCCAGTTTAGGTTTTCTGATGCTGATTTGGAAGCACCCATTTCAATTTGTGCAGCTTGTCACTTGGGGGAGAAAAAGGATGTCACTGTAAATGGAGGGGCTTGAGAAGCTCTAGTCTGTAATTCCAGCAGGTGTTTCCTTGCAAGCACAACTTTCAAAAGCCTGTTCCTCTCTTTGGCTGCCCAGGTGCTATTTAGCAGAAACTGGCTTTGAGCAGTAGGTATCTAGTGAACTCAAATTTGTCAGCTCACGGTTATGCACGAGAGATACCACAAGTCTTCAGAATCATTGTAGTATACATTTTAAAAATCAAGCAGATGATCTTTGTGCCTCAAGAGACCCATGTAGCCTTAGAGCAGCTGATGCCAGTTAAGAGAAATCTGTCATCACTTAACTGTTTTCATAGCAGGTTTAATAGTAATAGTCCTTTTTCTCACCAAAGTAGAACTACTTCATCAGTGTCTTAGATCTTTAGGAAAATAGAAAAAAATTGAGAACTGCTGAACTTGAACACTTGGTTTTAAGGAACTTAAAAAGGAAGGGTAGTTTTCACATCACATGGACAGTACAGATGTTTTTAATAAATGCATTTTCAACTGGAAAAAATGAAATCTATTTTGTTCTAACTAGTGACAGGTAAATTGTTACCTATTTGTTTGCTTCTAATGATGGTTTATAGAACTTTCTGTACATGACTTTACTGTACCTGAGCCAACAGTTACAGTGCTTTGCGAAGCTGCAATTCAACAAAAAATGAATAAAACAGCAATATGTTTATGAAGATAGCAGAAGGGACATAGTTGCAAGTTGGCTTTCCTAAAAAGCCTTTGTAGGCTGACACTAAATGCAAAATGAGATGGTGGTTGTTTGTAGGTTCTTTAAAACAAACAAACAATAAGCACAAATGCCCCAAAACCATTCCTCAAACAAACAACACACACGGATTTTAAATTAAGCATAGTGTTCCTCCTTTTTTCTACCAGCTTGATGCTGACCCAGTTCTTCCCTAAGCTTTCCTGCAGTTAAGTTTCTGGAGGGTTGTTAATCTTTGCAGATGCAAAGGTAGCTTTTCACAGGTGCTATGCTGCTTTGGATTTAGAGCCCTGTAAAAAAGCAGAGTTTGATTAATGGTGTTTTGCATCATTGTAGAGTAACAGTTGGAAAATAAGTTTGTTACTCTGCATATTTTTCAGTCCTGCAATGTTTGTTTTTCAAGGTCCTCTGATGAAGTAAGTTTAGTTGCGTCTTTGCGTGTGTAATATGGGGACTTCTAGGGCTTTTCCTTGATGGGTGTCAAAACAAGGTTTTCCCCAGTGATAGTACTGCTGGCAGAGAGTGCAGATAACGAATGGTTTGCATAGTAATAAACTAGTTTCTTGCGTGTAGTAGCTGCTGTGGCTGTTAAAACCCTCCCCGTAGACAGACAATTGATGGTACTCGGTGACAGTAACCCATATGCAACAGTTCTCGGCATCCCTGGACCATCAAAGAAAAATACTCTAAAAATAAAATTGGTCCCGTACAGTGTATGTTCATAGACTTGGTATTGAAATGGCCCAGGTGGAAAAAGTTGGTTGTAATATATCTGAAGGTGTCTGAGGCAGTGAGAGTGATTGCTTTATTTGCCAGTCACAAGTGGAAAGATTGGATAATTACTGGATGGGAGAGACGCGTAACAGTGTACAAATTGGAAAAATGAGATGGTGATGTGGCATGATTGACAGTAAGAGTTAGACTGAGAGAAGTGGGTTTGTTTTGCCTGGAGAGAGAATGCTAAAAATGGGAAGTCCTAATTGCTGTCTTCTAGTCATCTAATGTTAGTTACAGAGGCGGCTGAGCTGGATGCATGACAAAAGGATGAAAGGAGGTGGATGCATGTTTTTGCAAGGAAAATTCTTGATTAGATACTAGGAAGAAGTTCTTTGCATTGAGGATGGTCAAAGCCTGAAACTGGTTGCCCTGTCAAATTCTGGAATCCCTGTCCTTGGAAATACTCAAAACTGGACTGGCCAAGGCCCTGAGGAAACTGACCTCGCTTCAGAGGTAGCTCTGCTTTGAGGATGGAGTTGGAGTAGATTATGTCCAGAGGTCTCTTCCAACCTTAGTTATTGTATGATTCTATGAGAATCTGCCTTTGTTATATTATTTTAAGAGGAGGCAAACTTGCCCTTTCTCTTCAGTTTGCTTTTGGCTTAATAGGAGAATAAAGGAGTCTCTTCTGTGTCTGAACAAGCTATGTAGGTTGATCGTTGGATAAGACTTAGAATCTGGTTTAACCAACAGGATACTTCTACTTATCTAAGCCCAAAAGTGAGGGACTTTCTGTGATCACCTCTTATACCGTCCTGTTAGACATCTGGCTAGTGGTAATTCCAGGACAAGTGTACATTAAAACAACTTGGAGCAAGTCTCTCGCAGTGCAGTTTTAGTCCACTCCCCACAGGCAGAAAATGAACAGTAGGATTTACGAATAAGGGAATCTGGGTTCATGAGGATTTTGAGGTCTCTTTTCCTAAGCTCAGTTTTACTAACTAGTGGATTTGACTTACTTATATGTGAGTCAGAAGAAGGAGAGAAAAGGAAGGGGCTTGGCAGCATGCTAGAAATAATCTGAATTCCTCCAGCTCAGCCAAAAGAGTGCAGAGGAGCTTAAAGGCAGGTATATTGTGCTACTATTTCCCTATTACATGTCCCATGCTGTTGGTTTTGATGTGATTTCCGTATGAGACAGTATCTGTGGAGTGCAGCTGAGTTTTGATACTTGCAGTAAGGATAGCACGTGTAGTTTTCAAAGCGCAAGTCTTCACACATACACAACAAATGTACATGCATTGGTTTTGATACTCTGAAAGCAGAAATGGGCAAGGATGATTATTATTAAAAATAGTTATTTTTATATGTCGATAGGTAACTGGCTTTTTTTGCTTGCTAGTAAAAAAGTGGTGGTATTACTAAGCTATTTTATGGGGATTCTTGATGGAGAAATCAGTTCACGTGCTGTGTTGTTTATTGCTGATTTTACACGTATTAAGTGTTTATGTCTTGTGGTTTTTTTGTTTCCCCTTCCTCCCCCAGGAGATGAGGGAGAGACTAAATCAAGGGCTGTTCCAATGGAGGAGGAGGAAGATGATGATGATGACGATCCTGAGAATAGGTATGATACCACCCGTAAGGACTTAAAAAAGATTATAACACACCCTAGGCGTGGGCGCAAACCGGCGCAACGGAAGAGCAAGCAGGTTGTAAAAACCACGACTGCCTGCCTTGTAAAGACTCGCTCACGGGCTTCCCGCAAGTTTGAACAAGGGGCCAGAAAACAGAGGCCAAAATCCAGAAATGCAAAGAAAGTATTTAGAAGTGTTAGCTAACACACCTTGCATAGGGTGTGTTATAAATGCACTGCAGCGCTGTCCATTTTATGTTCCCATTGAAAGTGTGAGGTTTGTGACAAGTATTTCATTCAGGCAGGTAAAAACCTACTTCTGATAAATGTGAATTTCAGCTAGTTATATGAATAGAAGGTAAAAATTTGCATCTGTGCAATATGCAGTGATAAGATATTTTCAGATTGAATTTGGTTATTACTGTTACATAATTTGCTTTTTTAATTGAAACACCTTTTCTCAATAAAGAGAAAACACAAATGTGGAGAAGAGAGTATTAGATATTTTCAGCTGTTAATTAAACTGAGTTTTAATCCACTGAAGAATACCTGAGTTGACTAATGTGGTAGTTAAGGCCCTGATTCTACAAGCACTGTGCATAGGCTCAACTGGTATCGAAGAGACTAATTATACATACACCTTTTAAGTCTTTGAATAGATATTTTTCAAAATTGTGGTGTATGTGTATTGCTTCAGTTTCGAGTTCAATAAAAATGAATCTATGTAAGACGTAGTTAGTTAAGACGTCATATTTTACCAGTACCGTTGTAGTTATCAAAATTAGCCTGGCTAGAAAAATGTAAAAGCTTCATTTCCTAATGAGTGAATGCACAACATGAAGTATTGCTCAATTACGAGCCACAGTTTCATTTTTTGGTTTTACTGTAGTTAGACTAAAGAGTTGTTCAACAACAATTTTTTATACAGTATTTCAGAAACTGATTTTTTTTTTTTTTTGGCCATATAGCATGTGTGGGACCAGCTTCATAGCTTTGCACAGTTGCTGATGGAGTCTTTTTTCTGCTTCTGAGCCTTACTAGTTTAGAATATAGTATCTTTGTTTCACAGAGTTGTATGTTTTGATCTGTGGCTGAAGTAAATTTTGAAAACACTGTTTTATATCCTTTACGGACCTCAGTTTGGCATCAAAATGTTGCTGCTGATGTAGTTCTTGCTTGTTTTCAGTCATCAAATTTAATCAAATAATTCAACTTCTAAAGAAAGATGCTTTTTAGGGACTTGACAGCACAGGGTCATAAGCAGAATATTGAAACATTGGTAATACAAGATTTTTTAAAATGATACTTTAATTTCAGTCCTGTTTTCATTTTTTTCTCTCTCCTTTTTTCTTTTTTGTTTGTTTCTCAAGTGTTTCTGGTTGATAACTAAGCCGGTACACTTTTGTCAAAGTTCAATGTTTACCATACAAATGTTACTGACAGATCTTAATTATTAGTTTTAAGAGCTATATTGGGAAATGAGTTAACCCAATTGATAATAAACAAATCAGTAATATGAATTTGGGGTTTAAAAATCAGTTTCTGTACTTTGTTTTTAAGCTGAATCTTTGTTGACGTTTTTATTTAGGGAATATTTGAATATATATTTATGAGACGGGGAGGTATTTTGTCAATAAACAGTTTTGTCAATCTTAAGACATGTTAACTGGTAACTGCAGTCTAATTTTACATTCATCACGCATTGTACTTAGCACCAAAATCAGATATATAAAATGTAAAAAGATGGAACAAATTTCAAGAAGTTAAAAGCTTGTTCTTCTGTTTGCTCAACACAAAAGTGTTTAAATAGTTTACCTACTATTCAGATAAGTTGCCTATTTTCTTCCAGGCCAAAGAGGGTACGTAGTACCTATCGGGTATTTATAGTGTGGGAACTCTCATGTTTGCAAGTCTCTAGTTTAGATGTTCTGTTATTTGCATACCTTTGGATGTGCATGACATGAATATTAATAGTCTTGAAATCATCTTTGCCAAAATGCAATATCCAAGTGGGTCATAATATGACATACAGTGCTGTATGCTTTCATCTTATGTTGTGTAATTATCTATTATTGGTCCTTCTGATCTCTTAAATGGTACTGTTTAATATGTTTGCAGTAGTTTTGTTTATTAAGAAGTTAATAGTGTATTTAATGCAGAATGCCTTTAAGTATTTGATGGTTGCAATAAATTTTTGTAAAACGTTTTTCTTGTCCAAGCATTTAATTTAATACAACTCTGACAGCTTGAAAATCGGACTGTTTCGACAAAGACAGTACAGTATTTAGAAAAAGGTGTTTGGCAGTTTTCACTTTTTTTTTTTTTTTTAATACGACATTTCATCCAAATACTCGTCTCTTAAAATATATTTTAAATGGTTCTAAATTTTTGTAGTAATATATCAAAGGCCCATTTAATTCAGTAGCACTGTAGCTGAAAGAATGGTGGCTTTTATTAGCCACACAAAAATGTTCTCCCCTGCCCAAAGGCTTGTTTTGGGCAACCTTATTTCTACATATAATTAGTAGGTATTTATGAACACTACGTGTGAGTTGATATAATCTAATTGCTTATAATACGTCATGATAGTTAACTAATATTTAAAAGTACAACTTTTTAAGAAGAAAAATTATTTTTACAGTGGTAACATTGTCTCACCAAGATTTTTGACAGTCTATAGAGGAGTCCATCGTATTGGCACTCTAAAATTCATGAACAGGAATGGTGCAAATTACCACGTGGACTTAACTCCACATCGTGAGAGGCTGCACCTACTATTCCATTTTTGCTGCAATGTCTGAAGGATAATTTAAAGTAGTCCCATACTGTGACTAAGCAACCCCTGGGTAACTTTCAGTTTGCCTCTCTCTCTTTAAAAGAAAAATGTTTTCTTCTAGTGTAAGTTAAAAAATACATAGTAACCAATTCATTATTTATAAATATATATTGTTGGTGTCATTCTTACAAAGGTGAAATGTATTTAAATCCTGATATATATAAAATGATATATTGTTACTCTGGAGTTGTTTATATATGTCCTGGTTGAGATTACAATCCCATTCTGTAAGGCACTGTATAAATATGTGTTGGGAAAGTGTCCTTTAGATAAATCAGTTTAGATAAGATGGAGCAGGGCAACTCTCAAGGTCACAGCAGATCAGTGGCAGAAATGAATGAAATGCAGAGATATTGTATCTTTTTTTTTTTTAAACTACCTGAAGTCCTGTGCTGGAGGTCATACAGCTCTTTGTGCTTCGTAATTAAACTTGTTTATAGTGTTCAACTGTTACATTGGGTTGGCCAAGAATATCTTTTATGTCCTTGACCCAAGTAAATACTACGGTATCTTTTGAATTTCATGGGTTTCTCTGGAAGAATGTGAGCGAGGGAGTGTTCACGCTATCATAGCTTGTTTTTCTTGGTACTTGCAGTTTGATGCTAATGCAAATATTGAAATGTTAAAGCTGGCATAGGAAGCTTCTTAGCTTAGAAACCTGGTCACTTTAAATGGTTTCATATCTTAAAATAGAAATACGATACATTATCCTGAGCCACATTTAATTTAAAACCGGTTTCAAGAGTCCAGTACTCCATTTATTCTAGTTCATATAAGCCATTTGTTACATCAGTCATTTGCCAGATGCATTTACAAGGCTTAATCCGTTAGGTTCGGATATTGTTTACGCTTTTAATTCCTATCAGATACGTAGTTACATTAAGAATAGGAATCTTTTAAATTCTGAATGTCTCAACAATGTCTTACATTTTTAGCCTAACATCATACCAGTAGAACACACTGAAGAGAATGTAGCTTTTTTCACTAAACAAACAGTTCCATCGCAGTTTGATTCAAAGCGGTTGAATCTTTGTCCCAGCTAAAAAAACCTCTAATTTTCTATCGCAGAGTATAAAAGCAATAATTTATCAATCAATATTATTATAAAGAATTAATTAGAAACTAATAAGCTTACCCAATCTGGATGGTGGTTATGGTGGTGATTAGTAGTAAAATAAGAGCATCTTCTGTTTATGGATAGTAGATTTTGTTCACGGTATTTTTAGGTGAATGGTACATTTGCCTTTCTCTCCCCCCTTCCCCTTAAAAAAATACTTCATAAAAGAACAAATAAAAATGTATGTCATCTCTTATTAAGAACCAAAGTCAATCTTTGTTTAAAAATACATAAATAAAATTTTAAAGGTGACTTGTATGAAAGGTAAGTATTATTATCCACATACAAGTTGTGTTACCTTTGCTAATGCAATTTAGGACAGCGCAAAGTAAGTCAAAGGCAGTTACTAGGCAGTGCTTTCAGACTGAATTTTAAAATTTTGCTGCTGTTTTTCTACTTTTTTTTTCCTCTTCCAAAGTAAAACTTTGGTGATGATATTGCTATTTTTTTAAACAAGAAAAGGAGCCAAACTGCTGCTGTTTGCGTTTCCCGGAGTACAATTGAAGGTTAATAATTTACGTTAAAAGCTTTTAAAGAGATGCCAACCCATGACAAGCACTTTAATTTTGAAGAAAAAGTTTTGATCATTAAGAGATGGAAGAAATACAGTCTTAATTTCTTATGGAAGGAGCTGTTTATTCCTCTTGCTATTATACATGATGTGGTGGGTTTAAAAAAAACCCACAAACCAAACAACAACCAACCAACCAAAAAAACCCCCACCTAAGTTCCTTTTCCAAGTCCTCTGGAAGGACCTAATGCAAATAAACATTTGGAAGAGGATGTTACTTATCTATGGACTTTAGCAGTTTTCATTGGGTTCACACTGTGATCTGTTGATATATATGGAATTAAAGCCTACCAAGAGTACTGCATTTGAAAGTTTTAATCAGCTATTTCTTCACAAGCCATTTCTGAAAAGAGCGGGGAGTGTTTCGGATGCTGATGTGACTGACTGAGCAATCTTAAATGTTTATTAAACCATTTTACTTCCATCTTTTAATAATAGGAGAATATACATTGTGGAAAACATACTACCACTCAAAAAATAGAAAAAACTGTATGAAGTGTTAGGAAAGATACCGTGGGAAAATTCCCTTTGAAAAGTTCCTTTGTTTTAGGCACAAGTTACATGCTGAAAAATGAAATACAGACTCTTTAAAACCTATTTTATGGTGCCACATAAAAGTAACAATTTTCTAAGGTATAAGAAGCTGTACTTAAGAGATCACTGTTCCTTTGCCATTTCCAGGTGAAGCCTGAATTATGGTTCAGTTTCATGGTTTTTAAACTATTGTTTTGACTGGTATGAAAGCTTTCCCATCCTGAACTATGTACATACAGTATACATTAATTCTCCTGAAAAGCAAGACAGACTAGGTTTCACCTAGGGAAAAAAAAAATCATTTAAAATTGACGACCATGGAATGAAAACTATAATATTTCTGATATTTATATGAGGCAGGCCTGGTTTCATTCTTCCAGGATTTTTTTTTTCCCCCCGAAAGTATGACTTCTCAGATAGGTCCACAATTTTCCTGTGCTTTTAACGTATCATTTTATATTTTGCCTTGGATAGATTCATATAAGGTTTTTTTCTATGTTGTAAGAGCATGTAAATAAATGATTTTTCCATAGTAACTTCTTGTATGTTAGCTGAAAACATTCTTGTGCTGAAATTAAATTGTGAGCACAGTTTGTGGAACAGGAAATAAGATGGTAATTTTTCTTTGAAGCTCGGGTCCTGTAATATTTGATAAAACTTCTTTGTGTGTATGTGTATATACACTTTTTTGGTATAGTTGCTATAAGGCAAGTGCTTGTAGTTACATGAGGGATCCGGTGTGGATTTTTTTCCCGAGGCACTTAATACCAGTTCTTCTCGAGACATCACGAGTTGCTTCAATTACTACAGCATCTCTTTTGCAGTAGGGTGAGCCCAGGCAATTAGAATGGTATCACAGTTGACAAGCTATGTAGAGGTAGGGTAATAAATTTTTAATTTTTTTAACCCGTGAGTTAATGCATATTGCAATAACCTTTTTCGCCTTCTTTAAAAGATGCATTCAGTGATACACAGTTTTTAAAACTATTAATGTTTACATATACATGAGTCAAGTCGATTCAGTGCCTCAGGAAATGAATCTCATGGATTTAAATCTAGGAAGCATGAGAACCATTTGGGGGGGAATGATTTGAGTGTTAGGATTTGGTCTGCAGCATCTTCACGTTCTTGTTACAGTTAGAATTCATATAGGTGCCTTTCCCACAACTGACAGGAGTCCATCCAGATAGACCATGAATAAAATGAGATGTTGAAGTTTGTACATTTTATAGCAATCTCCAGTCTTGCTGTAAAGCATGAAACTTCTTTTTTGAGAAGCATTATACAGATTTGCTTTCTAAAAGCAAGTTAACATGTTACATTTAACATGAGATTTTTGCTGACATAGCCTGTCTTAATTGACTTTTCATCATGTGTCTCTCTTCTGTTTAGCTTTCAACCCTTTTTTTGAAGTTCTGAATGGTATAGGATTACACTTATCGTTCATAGATTTACTTGAACAATGGAATAAATAGTTTTTTCTGTTTTACTTCAAAGAATTGCCAAGAAAATGCTTTTAGAAGAAATCAAAGCCAATCTTTCCTCTGATGAGGATGCATCTTCAGATGATGAATCGGATGAAGGAAAAAAGAAAACTGGAAAGCAAAATGAGAACACAGGAGATGATGGTGAGCACCAAAAAGCATCTGGGAAAAAGTGGTGCTGTAGTGCCTGTCATAATTTAAAAGGTCACTTGGGAAAATTATAATTACTAAAGTTTCCTCTGTTTTCAAGAAAAAAAGGTCATTGATGTTGATAGGTAGTTGCCAGATAGAGGCCAGTGTACGTGGTCATGAGGATTGTCCATCTCTCTTACTCTCCCGTAAGTGTATTTTTTTGTTAATAGTCTGATTTTTGTAACCAATTCAGAAGTCCTAGGGATTTGTGAGGAATAATTATACAGAATAGTAAGACGTGCAAATACATGGGAGAGATTTGACTAATGTATACAGTCATTGGAACACGCCTTCCAAGCATTCTGGCAGCATGAAGTACTTAAAATTTGAGGGAACAGCAGCATGTTGTTGCCTAAAATTTCCTGGAAAAGCACAGAATATAGCCTAAATCAATTCAGATTTTAATTCTTGCCAAATTTAAGTAAGAAAAGAATGACCAGTGTGCATGTTGTACTGACTCTTGTCTCTGACAGAAGAGAATGAGAAGGAAGATAATTCTGAATCGGATTCAGAGGAAGAAGAATCAAAGAAGCCTAGATACAGACACAGACTGCTGAGGCACAAGCTGACAGTGAGCGACGGAGAGTCTGGTGAAGAAAAAAAGGTGAAACCAAAAGACAAAAAAGAAGGGAAGCGCAGAAATAGAAGGAAAGGTACATAATCCAAACATTTTTTGTCACAGAAAGTACTTTCTTCTATAAAATAAGTCCAGAGCCTGTCAGAACGGAGATCTGACACTGTTCATTTTAAGAGCTCTGTATAAACTTCCTCGTGTATTAAATCTAGAATTTAAAATGTCTAATGCAAATGCAGTTCTCTTTCACTTATTGTATCATCTGAATTGGACTAATCTTGTTGAGTCTTAGAATATTAATCTTAAATAACAGAGGCAAGCCCAGTACGTCTATTAGCTGAAAATCAATCTTGTCCTTGATGTAATTTCTCCCTTTATCTTGGACTGTTAGTAGGCCCTTGTGCATCAGGAATTTCTCCATCCTAGGATTTAGCCGTTGCAAGCTTTAGCTGAACAGCAGATGGCACTGTGAAATGATGCTTGGCTTTGATTTTTCATTGTCATGGGTGCATGCAAGAACAAAGACTCTGTCAGCCCCTTGCATTTAATCTTTTTGAGCAGAGGAGAGGAGCGACGGTAAAGATAAATGCTTCCTGCCACGTGGTGGGTGTTGATAGTCTTTCGCGGCCAGCGGAAGTAAGGGTGCACAGGACGTTTCTGTGCTCAGTGTTGCACCAATGCTGGCCATCATTTGCAGTGTTCCGCGGGCTGAAAGATGCAGGGCGACTTGTTTATAGTTTTCCTTCATGAAAACTCTCATTTTGATCTGAACGTAGAGACATGCTTTTCCTCCCTTACGGAATTCTAACTCTACCAACATGTCTTTGAAGAAAAGTAATTGTAAATTATAGTGGCAGTGGGCAAATAAGATGCAGCCAGGCTGGGTCTCAGGATTGTTTAGTGTAAGTCTTTTAGGTTCACTACTTTCAAGTAGAACAATATACTGTATTTCAGCTCGCCCTTTTTTAGACCTCTGTTATTAATATTACATTTTACCACATATGTAAAACAATCCTTGTTTTAAGGCATGTTATTCATAAAACAGTTAAGCTTTCCACTGTTTTCAAGGTCAAACTTGAAATGATAAAGGTGCTAAGTGGCATGCTGGTCTTAATTACCTGTAAATGCCAGTGATAGCTCCTAAAAGTAGTTACGGAAGTATTTCCTCACGCTGCTAGTTTAGCTGTATTTTTAATTGTCTTTTGAGTCAGTTTTAAACTTGCATTACCTGAAGAAACTTCAAGCCATAAAAACTAATATCATTGCAGATGTTGTTAGTAAAGAAGGATTGTTTGCATGAATTGTGAAGTATGCTTATAAAATTACATCTAAAACATTTGGAACAAAAGCTTCTGTTTAACTAAAAATGATCTTTTGTTTTCCGAAGGTCTGCACTGTTCCCCATTGCGTTCTCTCCTCCTCACCCACTGTCTTTGAAATGTGATGCTTGCTAAGATAATGCTTTCTGTCATTTGCTTGTAAACTGTACTTAGATGTATTCATGCGTAAAGACCTCAAGTCTTACTGGCATAATATGCCATCTATCAGGACTCAGCTAGTACTTACACGTTAAACTTTTCTCCTCTGTACCCCTTACATTCCCGTTGTTTCTTACTAGTACGTTTAATGGATCCCGTACTGTCTGAAATGAACTTTTACGGTGCTTGTTGATCTTTAACAGTTTGTTGCCTAATTAGAAGATATGTAATGTTGCAAGCTTTCCAATAGTACTCAACATGAAATCATACTTTTATTTTTAAAGTGAGCAGTGATGATTCAAATGACTCTGAGTTTCATGAATCTGCAGTTAGTGAAGAAGTCAGTGAGTCTGACGATGACCAACGTCCAAGGACAAGGTATAAATAAAACTTAACTATGCTTATCCTGTGTTTGGTTTTCGGTTTTGATAGTGCAATTTAGGCAGTGAGATGGTAAAAGTTAATGGCTTTGGATCAGTCCTTAAAACCTTTGATGACACTTGTCTGTAATTTGGTATCTGCTAATTAACTTAATGTCAAACGTGAGAATTCTGAATTTGTACCACAGTACGTTGTACACAGCAATTTGATGAGGCAGTACAAAACAAGATTAACAAAAAACGAGCATTTTAATGCCAAATATGTCAATGTTAATTGAGGAGTGGTGGATTGCTGTAGAAAACTAACACTGAACGATTCTAAGATTCTTCAGGTGTTGTCTGGAATAGACTGTAGCTAAGTGTGTCCAGTGAGTTGAGGGGGAGGAAGGAATTTGGAAGCAAACCCCTGATTGCATAGAAGGAGTATATATTTTGTTAATTAGCAATGTAGTTCGTGTACTTTTTTTATCATTGTTTTCCAGTGAGGCAATGAATTATTATCGTTAATCAGTAATACTGCTTTTTTTTTTTTTTTTTTTTTTTTAATAGATCTGCCAAGAAAGCTGAGGCGGAAGAAAACCAGCGCAGTTACAAACAGAAAAAGAAACGAAGGCGTATAAAGGTTCAAGAGGATTCTTCAAGTGAAAACAACAACAAGGTACTATATTGCGTTTTGAATTAATAAATGGGAAAAGGAGCTCCTGTCTCTTCTGCCAAGCGCTGTGGGACTTGGGTAGCTCAAACAGCTCTGTACAAAGTACAGTAAAAAATTACAACTTTACTCAATGTTAATTCAGTACTAGAAGGTGTAAAACGGCACCATTATGGAAAAAAAAATTGCGTTTAACTAAAGCCATTTCCTGTGTAGACCTTGATAAAAACTCATGATATCTTTTAAGTAAATGGCATTTTTAAACTAAATGTAGATGATGACACAATTAAGGCTTTCCTAGTATTAGAGTTTTGTTTCCTATGTGATAGGTGATAGCTGATCTGATCTAGCACCACTAGAACAGAAGCACAGCTGGGCTTATCTTTGATATCTCAGAATACATTATAGTTAAGGTGGCACTTCTTTTGTCATGCTGGCTAAGTTGTTTTTAGAAAAAGTACCCTTTTCTTATGAGCTAAACTCCACCTCTGTATATAAAAATGTTTGGGAGCTTGTCTAAACATGAAGGATTTGATGGTCTGTGCTATAATTTTCTTGCTAATACTTCATTTATTTAATTTGTGACAGAGTAATTCTGAGGATGAGGACAATGATGATTCAAAATCTCCTGGAAAAGGCAGGAAAAAAATAAGGAAAATTATTAAAGACGATAAGCTGAGAACAGAAACACAAAATGCACTTAAAGAAGAAGAAGAAAGAAGAAAACGTATAGCAGAAAGAGAACGGGAGAGAGAGAAACTGAGAGAGGTATCTTCTGGTTTCTTTGCAAAATGCTAGGAAGTTGACTTGTTCATTATTTTTAACATGACATAATTCTACCTCAATTTAATTTGATAAGTAATTTTAAAAGTACTTATATGTAGCCTTGTGAGCCACAAGTTTTATTTGTAGTTTCCTGCAAGTTAGCACTTGTAAGCTTTATTTAAGACTACTGAGGTCTTCAGAAAGCTGTTTCACTTGCCTCCTGCTTTGCTTTCCATGGGGAAAAGCACTCTCACGAAGTAAAGGATATAAGGTTTCTCTTTACTAAAGAAATGATGATTTCCAATTTTGCTAAAACTAGTGTCCGTCAAATGCTTGGTATGATTCACGTGTGAAGTATTCCTGTGATGCCCTGTTCCTGCTTATAGGTGATCGAGATAGAAGATGCTTCACCTCTGAAATGTCCCATTACAACTAAGCTGGTTTTAGATGAAGATGAAGAAACCAAAGAACCGTTAGTGCAGGTTCACAGGAATATAGTTACCAGACTGAAACCACACCAAGTAGATGGTAAGGAAAGAGAGTTACGATTTTTTTTTTTTTAATTCCCCTTGCCCCTGCTCTACTGGCACAGCACCTTATGCAACCTGAATTAGAATCATAAGAAAAACTCCTTGGCAGGCAAATGCCAGGCTGTCGGGTTTAATGCTTTATTTTTGGAACATCTGAACAAAAGTAAATGAGATTAGCAATACATAGTTCTGTTTTACAAGCAAAGAACCTTAGAAATATAAAGTTGGAAGGGTCCTCAGTATCATCTAGTTCTGCACACTGAGGCAGAATCAAATATGTGTTTACCCATTTTATTGAGAAATTAGTATATTCACTTTTTACAGTTTTCAGTGAAGATTTAAAAATCTTGCTGTATTTTCCTGGCTTTCTCCACAGAAATTTTTTTTTTTTATACCTGACAAGTGCAGGTACCTGATACCTGCAAATCAAGCCATCTTCTTTCCGTATTCTGTTTCTAGTGAAGAAGGAGAAAATGAGAATAACCCATCATAATTTTCTTCACAGCTCGTTCTGTTATTTTCAATTTTCCTTACTTTCCATTTGAGTAAGAAACTTCTGGACTTGCTTCAGCTCTTAAAGGGAGGTGCCCTGAACCAGACACAGCAATCAAGCTGAAGCCTTACCTGTGCCAAGTATAGCATGGTAGAACACAACTCCCCAGTAAAGAACAAAGAGCAAAAAAAATCACCTAGCAGACCCTCACGTTGTTAATGCATTTTGTTATGCAGCATATATTTCCTTTCCTTTTTCAGCTGTCACAGTTCTTACGTGATTGTTTTCCTCTTCATAGAGCTTCACATCTGATCTGTTGTGGCAGAATCTCTTCCAGTTGGTTGCAGATAATTTTGCTAATTTACCAAGATCATTTTAGGCTTTTCATGAAGTCCTTGCCACTTCTCGTTCTGTCTCCTTTTTTCTCCCTGTCCTCAAGATTGCAGTCACCTGCACAGTAATATTTTATAGCCTGTTTGCCACATCTTCAGTGAAAACTGTGAATATAATTAAGTTCAAGACAAAGATCATCCCGCATACAACCCATTGGACAGAAATGAATCAATAATTATCCTGAGCACTGCTTTTCTAAGAATTACCATGATCTTACAGTGATCACAGCTATCTCTTTTCAGGTGAAGTTTAATAAAATGAATGTTTAATTAAAATTTTGTCACAGAATCATTATGGTTGGAAAAGGCCTTTAAGATCATCAAGTCCAACTGTCAACCCAACACCACCAAGCCCACTAAACCATGTCCTGAAGCGCCACATCCACACGTTTTTTGAACGCCTCCAGTGATGGTGACTCCACCACCTCCCTGGGCAGCCTGTGCCAATGCCTGACCACTCTCTCAGTAAAGAAATTTTTCCTAATATCCAATCTAAACCTCCCCTGGTGCCACTTGAGGCCGTTTCCTCTCGTCCTATTGCTGGTTACTTGGGAGAAGAGACCAACCCCCACCTCACCACAACCCCCTTTCAGGTAGCTGTAGAGAGCGATGAGGGCTCCCCTCAGCCTCCTCTTCTCCAGACTGAACACCCCCAGTTCCCTCAGCCGCTCCTCAGAAAACTTGTGCTCCAGACCCCTCCCCAGCTCCGTTGCCCTTCTCTGGACACGCTCCAGCACCTCAGCATCCTTCTGGCAGTGAGGGGCCCAGAACCGAACACAGGATTCGAGGTGCGGCCTCACCAGTGCCGAGCACAGGGGCACGATCCCTGCCCTGCTCCTGCTGGCCAATAATTGTCAATAATTTTCTTCAGGTGTTCAGTTCATGTGGGATTGCTGTTGTGAATCTGTAAAAAAAACGAAGACGTCTCCCGGTTCTGGGTGTATTCTTGCTCACTGTATGGGTCTGGGGAAGACGTTACAGGTAAGAAACAAAAGTTGTCTTGTTTTCTGGTCTGTAGCTTGCTCTCAAAAGCTGATCCAGCAAAAGCCAATTTTAATGACTTTCAGAACATAGTAAAACTTACTGCTTTCTAGGCAATGACTTGATGGGTGTTGCTGGAGGAAAACGTTATGTAAAGAGGTCTTGAGAAAGAAGTTGTGTTTCATAGTATGCAGCTGTGAAATTTCTGATACACGCTTGCGTTTTCTCTTTAATATTTTCTCTTTAGATATTTTAAAATATCTAAATTAGGTAATCATTGATATTAATGCAAAAACGTCATATTTAATTGTAAGTGATGCGTAGCAGCCTTGCAACTCAGAACAAGAAAATCCAGCTAGTAGGAGACAGGCTTCAGGAACCTATGTTTCTAGGACAGTTTAATAATCTTAGGCAGGTTGTGTTTTTTACTGTCCTCCTCATTCATGTGTTGCTCCTTAAACTGTTTATTTTCCTCACTGGTTTTTCAGTTTATCGGTTGCACTGATAAAATAGAGGTTTATCAGGGTTTTGGTTTTTTTTAATGCCAGACTTTTAGTGTCTAAAGTCAGATGCTTTATGTTTTAATATAAACAATGTTTTGCTACAGTTCAGACCTTTCTGGGTTGAGGGATAAGGAGCATTTGTTTTCTATTTCAATAGTTGTCCATATGCACATGCGTATTTTTGGGTCATTGTGCATCACAAACAGTTAAGACCAGAAACTTTCATTGCTTTGGCGGTTGTCTGTAAGGCATACTTTCAACCCCTTTTTCACTTCTTTGTTTCTTTTCTTTGGCTTTACAATTCTTTGCTTCCTGAGACCTGCAGGTTCAAGCCTTCCTTGTCACTTCGGCGCATGTTCTTTCTCTTTTACGCTGCTGAAGACTGCTTTGTAAAAACCTTTAAAACAGAATACTGTAGCATTTCTCAAAAAAAGATTTCTGTATTTCTTGGTCTGATACAAGTGGCTCTTCTGCCATGTTAAACACTGCACAGTGAACAACTTACCATTCTATTAGTCTTTAAAATCTGAAGCTCAGTCCCCCATCTTAAAATGTTGCTTCTGGAACTCATCACCCAAGCTGTTGCTGTACAAACCATGCTCATAGCTCTTTTTCTTGGGCCTCTTGTAATCATTGCAGGCCTCGGGAGAAGCTTATGCCCTTGCCCTTCAAAAGAGGTAAAAGATCAAAAACAGTTTTCTTGAATTCCCTGCGCCTCAGTACTTAATGCTAGTACCTTTTCAAGGTAGTCAGGAGTGTTGAACTCCTGTGTTTGCTTGTTTCCAAGTCTCTATCTGTCTTCATAAATTTTGGTTTTGCATTTAGCCAGATGTGGCATCACCACAAATACTATGAGCAAAGAACTGGGGTGAGTTGCCTGTCTTGCTGTTCTGCTGCCCGGTCTGTTCCCAAGAATTCCTCTAGCAGAAGTCATTTGACAGAAGAACCTTTCCCTCTGATTCTGGGAAAGCGAAAGGGAAATTTTTGAGAACTCTGAAGAAGAAAGGAGGGTAACAACCTTATCTGCGCTTGGAAGGGCTCTCAGAAAAGCAGGACCACATCGGTCTCCCTGTCGTTGGCCTTCATTGATGCTACGTTTCCTCATTTCTGGAGGAGGGAGATATTCCCCTATCTTTATCAGGACAGCTGGCTAGTGAAATGAATTACTGTGAGCCTCTGTGATCTCTGGCTCGAGTGGAAGCATTAGAAATCTAACTTGCAGCTTTTGCAGACGTCGGATTCAATTAGAACTGATTTCAACTCGGGATCAGTCAGGGCCTTTCTGTGCCAGGAAGGGTTCTTAGCTATAAAGTCACTTGACAGGGGATCTGCCTAGTGCTCTGGTGAGTTTGTTACTGGCAAGACTAGATCAGGTTAGCGGCCAGCACTTGCGCAACACTTCATCCTAAATTCTTTCCTCACATGCTCCGAATATGGACGCACTTACTCCCTGGAGTACAGTCTCTTTAGCGTGGTGATGATGGTTCTCAAAGAGGTTATTTTCTTCCTACAGTGAGGATGGGATCCTCAAAGCGTCTGTGAGGAAATGCCATTTCACCATCCTCTTCCATCTTGGTCAGTTGTGGTAGAAGCTTCCCCATTGGATTGGGAAGCCCTATCACCTGACCTGAAGGCTCAAGATCTGTTCATTCGTAGAGAGGTCAGTATATCAACCTACTGGAATTCCAAGCTGTATGAAAGATGTCTCAACGTTTTTGTGCCGTGGCTAGATTCATAGTCCGCAAGTGACAACAGCCGGCTTTGCGACCTTGTTAGTCACTTAGCAAAGTGCTGTGAGATCCTGTTGACAAGCAGCGAGTCTTTGGCACCTCTGTGTTCGGAATGAGGTGTCGCAGTAGTTTTTACTCTCTAGTGCTCACATCTGCCTTGCTCGTCGGTGTTGGGCATAGCCAGCACACCCGGACACTGCTAGGTAGCAGACCTGCCTTGGCTTGAAGTCTTTCGTTATGATTTTAAGAGACTTGAAACATGCTCCAAGTGAAGATTTTTCAGAGACAATCTAGCGGGAGGTATCTGTTACTCTTTGCTAGCATCAGCTAGGCCTTACTGGGTCAGATGGCTTCCTTGTTCTTGTGTCTTCCCTCGAAATCATTGCTACCCAGGATTCTTCAAAGTGAAGTTACATGAGAAACACCCAATCCTGCTCTCCTCTGACCTAATTCAGACAAATTTTATTTACGACTTTCTGATCCCGAGAATCTTCTTTCTTGACCTGTGAATTGCAGGATACAGCCATGGAGTTCTTAGGCTGGTGTAACACCTTCAGATTCTTTAGATCCTCTGCAAGCAGGAGGCTCAAAGGGATCAAGGGAAGCTTGGTTTTTGTGTTTTTCTGATTTTATGTATTTTTGTGGGCTTGCAGGTTGTTTTTTTGAGTAACACAGAGCTGTAGATGATCAGAGGGACTGCGGCCATTCACTATATGTACTGCTTAGGTAAAAGAAGCTGCAGTCTTGGTTGTGGTGTACAGCATGTGGACAGCATGTTTTTAGGAACTGCAGGTGCAGTGTATATAGCTTTCCTTTGTTTATAGAAGTTGGGGTGACAAGCACTATGTTTTGACAGTCTACTATCCCATAGAAGAGGACTTTCATACATCCAATATCACCTTTGGAGAGTATATTTTTATATGCTTTATTATAGCTTAGGTGTTACGGTTCTTCAGGGGTTACGTACACCTTTTACTGGAGATTTGCAACGTATTGTAGAACTGTTGTGCTTTAATATAGCAGTCCAGTCTAGGTGACTTTGTGCACTTGGACTTTATACACCATATACTTTAGTTTGATGAAATATTTCACAGCAGAAGGTATTTTTCTATGTGATCTAGATGTGTTCCTGACATTCATTTTGGCTGTAACTTCTTGATAATCAAAGCAAGCCACAGTTACAAATACGTATCAAGTGTTTTTATGGCCAGTGTTTGTAGCTTAGGTAGTTGTTTTTTTCCTCTGTGGTCATTCTCCAGTCCTACTGTACTCTGTAACACCGTTCGTTGTTTAGCTCTTAAAAGACCTAAATCAGTGATAAGTTTTAGCAGATTTTGCAAACTACAGAGAGGAATGTCAGTAAAGGATTAGGGAAATAGGCAAGTACAGGCTTGCTGGCTGTCCAGGACACAGGACTTCTGTGATTAGTCTTCATGGGTAGTTTTTGCATCTGAACATGAGATGCTTTTGTCTCCATCGCAAAACCACTAGTAATTCTTTTTGTACTGCAGCATCCAAAAGCAGTTTGTTGCCTAGTGTTCCAAGCCTAGTCATGCAGTTTGAAATTACTTTGAACAGCGTATTAAATCAGAGTTGCCAGATACCAACATTTGATCCGGAAAGAGCTTTCCGGATGTTGTACAGTTACGTGACTTCGAGTGCAGTCTTCACCACTAACAGTCTGGGGTGAGACCTGGAGCTGCCCTGGGGTCGCTGACTCTTTTGCTCTTAGATTTTTACAGGTCACCTCTAGTCCTGTATTTATTTGCTACTGCTCAGAAACAGGCAGCCCAGCAGAAACAGTGACATCAAAAGATTTTAAGTTTTTTTCCCAAAGCCTCACAGAGGTGTTATCGTCTGCAGCATATAGTCAGTGTGGCTACAGGGTGGATACTTGGAAAGCATTTCAATAACCTGTTCCAGAGCTCTTCTGAGAGAATTTGCCAATATGTTGAAAAAATGTGGAAAACATTGATTTAAGACTGAAGTTCACTTTCAAGAAACTTGATACATTTATGAAGTCCAAAGAGGTGAACTTACTTAATGTTTGGGGCGAGTATTGGGAGAAAGCTTAAAAATGACCTAATAGAAATTTTTAGTTTGTGAAAATGATTGGTGAAATGTAAAGGGAGGGTTCCTTGTTTATGAAATCGTTCAGCTATCTGGCACGATTCAAAACTGTGTGTCCCTCAGCATGTGAGGGCTGTATGCAGCCATGTAGCACAGAGTAGTAAGTGTGTGACTTCAAAATACATAAGCAATGAGTTGTTTAACAAACAAAAAAAGAATGTTTGAACAAGACTGTTGCTGGTAAGTTTTATAGGTGAATATATACTTGTGTGTTCCTTTCCTAGTGTTTAATACTCAGTGTTTTATTTGGCATTTTGTCTGTGTTTTCCTTTTGCAGGTAGTAAGTTTTCTTCACACAGTCTTGCTGTGTGACAAGCTGGATTTTCGGACAGCTCTGGTAGTGTGTCCATTGAACACTGCCCTGAACTGGTTGAACGAGTTTGAAAAATGGCAAGAAGGTTTAGAAGATGACGAAAAACTAGAGGTATAAGGCTAAAAAGAGTTCTTAAAAATTAAATAAGTGAACGGTTTACATAATTGGGAAGCTCCACCACTGAAAATATAGGCTAAGGAATGCACCTTAAGTATGTGAAAAATCTACTTGCATTAATATGCCTTAGGTATTTAAAAGCTACCCTGGTACTTCAGTAATTTAGAAGAAATTCAAGCATATTTTTCTCCCTTTGAAAGGTCTGTGAACTAGCAACTGTGAAACGCCCTCAAGAGAGAAGCTATATGCTCCAGCGTTGGCAAGATGAAGGAGGTGTGATGATAATAGGCTATGAGATGTATCGTAATCTTGCACAAGGCAGGAATGTGAAGAGTAGAAAACTTAAAGAAATATTTAATAAAGCTTTAGTTGACCCAGGTAAGTGAAAATTAATACTAGTATGCATCATATATTGTACTTTTTGGTTTACATATATGAGCTAAGTAGTCTTGCTAAATGTAAATGTGTTGGGCAAATAATTTTAAACAATAACTGTAGTGAGTCTTACCACATTTTCTGTGTTGGCCTTTACTGAGTTATGGAAACGGTTGTTCAGAAACTCCCCCATCCACTGTTGTAAATAGACTTCTGTAACAGTCTTTTCTGTTAGATCGAATACAGAACTGACCACGGAATATATACTGGAAACTTTTCCTAGTGGGTATCTTTTTTGCTAGCATTGCTTTCTTTGCAAGGTAGTTTGAAGTGTCTCTGTTGGGACCCTAAGGTTATTTTAATCTGCTGACTTGTTAGAACCACAAGCTGCCTGATCCTTGATAAAATCTACTGTTGAAGGAGCAGCTACACATGAAAAATAGTTGAGAATGTACCTTAGAAGTGTGAACGAACAGGTGCTAATTAAGTGCTAATGAATTGATTACAGCTAAAGCACTTAATTCATTTTTTAAGTCTAAGAAATGTGTGTCTAGTTTAAGCCCAGCTGAGGTAGGCAAATTTACATAAGCAGGTATGTAAGCACTTGAAGGTATTCCGAGTTCATAAAACCAATCTATCAGGTGGTCATCAAAAAGAACGAAAAATTTTAGGATGAGCAAGTTTCACCAAAATAGCAACATTTTCCTACAAATTCTCAACTGGCAACTGATATCTGAAAACAACTTTACGGTTATGCAGCATGCCGTGTATTTTAAAAACTTTTTAAAAGGTACCTTTGCCATAACTTTGGTATTTCTCTTCAAATTGGGAATGTTGAAATGGTAGGTGGGGTACGTGGTTTCTTTGATTCTGGAGGTAGGTTTTCTTGAGTTTTAATTATATGGCTGGACTTCAGGTTTCTTGACAGTGGTGTTGATTTTTCTTTCTTTCTTTTTTTTCCCCCTTCTCTTTTCTGATTCATGAAAAACAGCATTGGTCTGTTTTAAAATTGTACTTGGTGTGATTTTGTGACGTTTCAAATAATAGTAGGGCTGTGAATTCTGTTCTAAAAGACAGAGAGATCCTTATAATGGGAAAAATAACTGTGAGATTATTTGCATTAGCCAGTTGGAATTGGCATCTCCAGCTGTGCAGAAAGCCTGTTTGAGCAGCTAAAAAATTAATTAATTTTCTGCCAGCTTGACTCACTAGAGCACATAACTGCTGTGAAGTCAGGGATGCTCCAGTACAGTAGCTGATAAACTATTTTTTTGATCATATTGACTCCACAGGCATTATTTAAGCAATGAAGAAAATGCACTTCTTGCCAGTGGATTTTCTGACACCTTCTATTAATGCTGCAGTTACTAAAAATAAGCAAAAAAAAAAAAAAAAATCCAGGGGGGAACCCTGTGCTGTCAGTCTTACTCTGTATCTGATTTGCTCAAGATAGTTGCATTTGTTGAGAATGTTGCCAGGAAGGTCACAGCTAGAGAAGAAAAAGGTGTGAACTGCTGTCCTGAAGTAGTGGTGACGGGGCAGTAGCCCGACAGAACACTAGCTGTATATTCACTGGTCATGTTCTGGTGCAATGATGAAACAAAATTTTATACACTCTTACAGTGATTGATTTTTATGTGGGTTTTTTTTTTCCTTGTGGAAAGCGTAAGGGAGGCTAAACACGGGTTGTTACCATGTGTCTTTATAGTAGTATTGTCCCTTCCTTCATGGATTTTTATTTATGTATTTATTTTGTATTTAACTTCCAAAATATTGGACTGTGGAGTGAGGTGGCATGTTGGGCATGCGGTTTTATGGAGGAGACACTGTGACTTGTGTAACCTCCCTGTCCCACCTCTTGTGAATCTCTTGGTTTTTACGTCCTGCTTATAGGTGGGGTTCAGTTCTGCTTTCAAACCTCTTTAGACAGCTTAGGACAACCTGGTCGAGCAGTGTTTGTGGTTAGATTATTGACTCGTGTAGATTTAATCGAGTTCAGAAACTGCAGCACATTCAACCTTGTAGGTTTTGAATAATTTCATATGAACGTGGAACCCTCTGTTTTATTTTCTTCTGGGACTAGTTGGTTGGTAGGATGGAATCAGACTGTTAGGAAAACTAACCTTGAAGTACCTCCACAATTATTTTTATGTTGCTTCAAATCTTTCTCTATTTTAACTAATTACAAAAAGACAGAAGTGTTCATCCGTTGTTATCCATTAGTTTTTGGAGACATTTGGGTTGCCTAAATTGACCAGAAGTATCTTGCAAGGACCATTATTTGTTTCTTGCTATCTTTGTGAATCACAACATTGGCAATATAGCAGGCTGCTAGTAAAAGAGTTAGGAAGCGATGTGCTGGCTCACTGCTGGGAGTGTAAATAGGAAAACCTTTGCCTCTGGGAGCATTTTTAATTTAAAAAGTTGCAAATTTGGTATTGGAGTGATAACTTAATGATACGTGTCTGGTTAAAATGAATACTGCTAGGGTAGACGTACTCTATAGTAGAAGCTTGTACTGCGCTGTATCCTACAGAAGAGGGGACCAGAGATGGAGGGTTTAGCCAAAGTTTATGGGTGGAGAAGTAGTGTGAGAAGTGATTTCATTAATTAACTAGCTCTGCTATGTGAAATAATAGCAAGATTATATACGCATGCAGAGCACCAAATGGTTTCCCATAATGCTTTGTGCAGCTGATGAAATGCCGTTGGGTTTATTGATAGCTGTTGCGCTTTGCTTGCAGCATTTCAGTAACTTTGTGGTTTTTTTACTTGTTACTACTAGTAAAAATTCCCTTACTGTTTAATTTGGAAAGAGTTCTTTAACTGGCAGTTGTATGAAGCAGATTGACGTTCTTGTAGACATCAGAGGAAAAGAACTGTGTGTATATCTATGTATCTATCAGTGAGTATGTTTTATGTGTATCAGTATAGTAACACGTACAACTACAGCAAGAAGAATAAGAGGATGAAGACTATGATCTTTGAGGAATGACTGAAGGAGTAAGGCTTTTTAGTCTAGAAAAAAGACAACTAAACTGACAGATTTTCCACCATGTAAGAGCTGGGTACTGAAAGGACTGTTACTAGTTGGCTTTTTTACATCGGTTGGAGAAAGGAAAATGCAGAATTTATTCTGATTTGCAGCAGAGATCATTTAAGTTAGGTATTGTTGCACAGTGTTTTAGCAAAAGAGAGAGGTGATGGAGTTTCCTACTTCTGTTAGGGAGGATGTGTCCCTTTCTCATAGTTCTAATATCAGATGAACAAAATGGACTAAATGATCCCTTAAGGGCCCTTTCAGTTTTACATTCCTTTATAATATTTTGAGAAATGTTCTGTCCGTAATGCATCGCATTGATGTTTAAGAACAAGGAAGAAACCCACAAATTTATGAAAATCCCTGCCACTGAATTGTAGCCAAGATGTCAGTTCAAGATATCAATGCTACACGCCTGCCAAACAAACCACAAATGATTTGACTGAGATAGGTTTTTTCATATTTTTGCTATCATTCATTTACTCTAAAAACCAGTTTTTGAGGAGGGTTTTTGTTTGTTTGTTTGTTTTTTAACTAACCACTTCATGTTCATGAATCACAGTCTTTATTGAAACTGATTTCTGGGGGTTTTGCCCAATTTTGATTTCTATCTGTCAGTAAGACTTCATTATCCTTCTCTAATATAGTTTGATTCTGATTGTAAACATAACGTACTAGACCAAATCTATTTCTGAGAATGATGTATCAATGTGCAAGCTGTCACATCTGGTGGGGAGATGTTTCAAATGCCTCAGTTCTAGAAAACGGCTCCCAACCGTCTCAGCAGTCCTGTACACTGCATGAACAGCTTGGTTGCAAGATTCTTATTCTTCAGAAAATACAGGAATGAGGACTAGAGAAAGGATCTGTCACTACTGAGACGTTTGCCTAAAATTGAAGGAAGGCTTTGTGTGTAGTCACTCAGTGATTTGCATGCTGTCAAAACTGGGGAAGGTACAGAAGTCATGAAATAATATGGGGAAATGTTTTCATGGCAGGTGTGAAAATTCAGAAATAAGTAGGCTTAGACAAGTCTAAGTGTGTTTAGAATTCGTATGTGGATTTTCATAGGTGTTTTCCAGCCTTTGTTAAAAAGGCAATTTTTTTCTGCTTGGAAAAAAATACTTTGATTCCTTTTCTGATAGCATGTAAGATTCGAATCATTTTTTGACACTTAAAATGGCACGATTAAGATGACTGGCATTAAATCATGCAAGTGGTCGAAGGTGTAATTGATTCTCTGTTGTTGATCACTGTCCTAGAGTTAATTTGCTTCTTTACAAGGCAGTTGAAAGTTAGTCTGAGGACAACTCGTAGTAAATTACGAAAGATTAGATTGTCCTTGTTGATAAATACTCCTTGCCATCTCAAGTATCAGCCTTTTTAGAGCTGAATAGATGAACCCAGCTGATGGCTTTGGGTAGCATTTTTCAAAGGTGCGTAAACATGACTTTAGCTGACTTCATGGTTGATAGTACTGGAATTGAGGTCAGGTTTAGATCTGGTGAAACATTCATTCTAAGTTACTAGTTGGATCCTAGAATATCTTTTAGTTCTCCTTTCAAGTAAAGAGCTTCCAGAAATTGCCCCAAATCTGAAAACCATTAGGGTGTGTAGGTCTGTTCTGCCAAGTTTGGTGATATTTATCTTAAACCCCAAATTGTAACCCTTAATTATACTAGAGTTGCTTTGCCTACTGTGGAAATATATTGTGGTTGCGCTCTTGACATTGCTCGTGCAACTCACGTGAAAAAGCAGTCTAGAATCCTTTGGTTTATCTTTTGGAAGAAAGCTGAGGACATCTCTCTGCTGACATTCAGCTACAAGGTGGCAATTCACTTGTCTGTAACTCAGATCAGATTTGATCGTTTCTTATCTAAGACTTTTGATTGCACTGTTTACCGCTGTTGATACTGACCTGTTGCCTTAATGAAAAATTACTGCTTACCTGATTTTTGGTTTTCTTCAGAATTGGTCAGGCACCAGTAGATGGCAGCCTAAGCTGGACTTAAGGAACAGTTTACGAAGTTTTGACAGGGCGAATGGAATTGTAGCCATGCACACACGAGCTGCATGGATGGATAATTTTTATAGGAATATATTGCAAAGCTGTATTTAATCCTTCCCATGAAGACTTTACAAGCAACAGCCTGTAGTTTAGCAGAATGGCTACTGTGAACGCTAGTGAGAACCTTAACGGTGCTAAAAAAAAACCCACCAGAAAACATACATGCAAAAGTTTAAAAAAAAAAAACAAACGCAAACCAAACAAACCTTAATACTATTAGTAGAACAAATTTTGGGTTCTTTAGGCTACCAGTTTCTTTGTGGTTATAAAAGATGGAAGACGTCTAATGTTCTTGCTTTCTAGGCCCCGACTTTGTTGTTTGTGATGAAGGACACATACTAAAAAATGAAGCATCTGCTGTTTCTAAGGCAATGAATTCTATTCGATCTAGGAGAAGAATCATTCTTACAGGAACACCACTGCAAAATAATCTTATAGAATGTGAGTAGTTCTCTGGTTTAAGAAATGTTTATTTCCTTGAATATTCTTTTGCCTTTCAGCAATATATAGATAGATTTAGTTTGATTAGAAGAAAGTAATTTGATACAGTGAACCTGTTTGTTAGGTTTCTCTATCTAAAAAAGCCCCAACAATCTGGTTTTGCGTTTTGCATTTTAAATCATTGTCTCAAGGTGTGGCTCCACGACGGTTTAAGCCAAATTAAAATGCAGCTGTTGGGAATCTGGCCGCTCCTCCATCCTTTCCCTTGGCATGGCCTTATGTACACCTGATCCCTCAGGGAGCCTGTATGAGGAGTATCCAAAAATGAACGCTGCAGAAATGAATAGCTTTCTGACAGTTTAGTTCCTTGATCCGGCTAACCAAAGGATCAGATGAGTCTCAGCATGTCAAAAGGGGAAGGGAGAGAATGTTCAGAGGGGAAATGGGTGGACCAGGTCTTGCAGCAGCATCAATTTAAATTGTTTGAAACCATTGCAGAGCAGTGTTCTTAGTAAACTTACTAAACAGTGATTTATGTTACTGTCTTGGGAATTTCATTCTAAACTAGCTTGTAACATTTGCTCCTGTTTGTTCATATGCTGTAATCCTTTTTCCTATTCATTAATATGCTTTTGAATCTATTTTAAAATCTTCGCAAATACGATTTTGTTATACGATTGCTTCGGTGTACAGCAACTTTCAAACTTCGCGTAACAAACGATGAGATAGTTTTAAATCTGACATGAAGTTTAGAAGTTACTTCTGTGCCTACAGTGCGTGCCAATTTAAGATGCCCTTCTGGGAAAATGTTGGGGTGGTTTGGGTTTTTGAGCTTAACAGAAAGTTCTTAGTTTTAGATATGACACCTTTATTTCTGTTAGAATTAATCCCAGTACTGTACTTTCCATTTTGAACAACTCGAGCCTGATCTTTGTGTCCTAGATCACTGCATGGTTAACTTTATTAAGGAGAATTTGCTCGGTTCAATTAAGGAATTCCGAAATCGATTTATAAATCCAATTCAGAATGGTCAGTGTGCAGACTCTACTCTGGTAGATGTCAGAGTAATGAAGAAGCGTGCACATATTCTCTATGAGATGTTAGCTGGATGTGTTCAGGTAAGAACAGTTTTGCTAAAACTAATTACTTGAATTAGCTGCAGGGAGGGGAGGAGCTATTTCATCTTGTTCTGAAAAAAGCACTCAAACACTGTAAACTTACAAAGTGAGAGCTCCGTTGAATCCAGCTATTACTTTTGACTTAAATATTTTCGCTAATTACTAGACCTCTGCATTATTTATTGTGACTAGAAAAACTTACACTGACATTTGGATAAAAGCTATGAAATTTTTGTATCTTAAGCAGGAACTATACGCATATTAAAGAATACAGCTGTTTTGCCGCTAGGAGACTAAAAAATTAAATGGTAGAGTAGGATATCAGTTGCTTTGAAATATTCTCTTTTAATGCCATATACACATTTAGAGAATACACATGTAAATACTGCCTTAAAAACTGCACAGAAAGTTGGTGCTCCATAGTTTGTCGCTTGGTTCTAAATTGCTGTTTTTTCTGATTTGTGAGAATCAGAACAATGGGGAAGAGGAACGGGAATCGGGTCCAAAAGGGTGAAAAACTTTTCACCTTAAAGACCTTAGATGAAAAAACAAAACAAAACTGCCTAGATTTCCAGCACGTGGGCTGGCTTCCTTGCTCTTCAGTTAACCTGCTGTGGAATTGCACCTCGTGTGCTGTCGGCATGACGTTACTGCTCTTAAACGCAGGCGGCGGCAGCCTGACCGAAGGTGTGACGCTCTGCGGGCGCTAACGGCCTCTCCCTGGCTGCGTGGGTGTCGGTGGCTGATCAAATAGTCCAAGTGGGCATGAGCTGGGTGAAATGGTCCCCGTGGGATAATCCCACAAGCAGATATTTCTTTCTCCACGTAAAGAAATAAAAAGGTTTACGACAGTGTGTAAGGCTGGTAGAGTACCTCCGATCTTAAAATTGCCAGCTTGGAAATACAAATAGTAGTGAGGGGATAGCGTACATCATTCTACACATCTGTGCAGCAGCACGGGAACACGAACGGAAAGGAGGAACGTGAATAGCAAGTAAATCTTACATGCCTTCAGATGCTGGGCCTCCCGTGTTTGTGCAGCATCGGACGGAGCCCAGCTGGATTCTCTCCCGGCGCGCTGCGCACAGCGGATCCTGTCCGTAGAGAGCAGTTGTCCCGTGGGGTCATTCGAGCTACTGTGTAATTTCCTTAGAAGAAACCAGCTCTGTTCGTAAAGGATGTTCTCACGCGAGCTTCTTGCTGCACCTCTAGATCACGGCAAGGCCACGCAGGCGGCGTAATGGCCGGTACCGGCTGGGAGCTGCCCGCGGGCTCCTCTGTTGCAGGGAGCTGGCTGAGGTCATCCTGCAGCCAAGGAGCTTCTGCAGCGCCGCGCGGGCAGGTTAGCTCTGGTGAAGCTCACTTAACTCCGAAACCTGTGACGGTCTCGGTCGGGATCGATACACAGTTCGCCGTTTGGATGAGTAGGGGTGGGTGGAGAGAAGTAGTAGAGCGTAAGAGTAGAAAAAATGAAAATAAGTAAATTTTGGGTTGCCCCAAGCAAGTATTCAGAAACTATGTACTCTTAAAACAGAAAACGGTTAACCTGAGTGCGAGTGAGTTCATCTGTGATGCAAACATTGATGATCAGCTTGATTTAGAGTGAGATTTAGATTAGCTTGACTTACCCGTGCTTTCACAAAAAAAAGATATTTTTAAAAACCCCGGGCAAGTAGTTACGAGAGCAGCTACTGAAGTCGCAGTCAACTTTTTGCAAAGACCTGGAACTGGGACATGGGATTAACAGGTCGTATACTTTTGACTACACAACCGCATTTACTAGATAAGATGGGCTTCTGCAGACAGTGCCTGTAATTAGATTGTATTTAGTGGGCTATTTTTTTCTCTTTGTGGTTGGAAGGCATCTGAATCATTGCGGTTTATGCATGGTGCTTTGTCGTTTAAGGTGTCAGAAGTTCTTAGGCTCTCAGTAGTCATTTTCATGTTTCTGTGACTAAAGTAGTGTTTGTAAAATTACAGAGGAAAGATTACACGGCATTAACAAAGTTCCTCCCACCAAAATACGAGTATGTTCTAGAAGTTCGAATGACACCTATTCAGTGCAAACTCTACCAATACTACTTGGATCATTTGACAGGTATGTGCCTACAATTCTCTTGGGTAACAAGATTGATGGTCATTTAATAAGGGGCTTTTTGCCACAGTTGGTAGGTTGGGGGGGGGGTTCATATGTATTATTGGCTCTGTGGATGTATTTTTCTGCTTCCTGTAAGATTTACCTTAGTTCTGAAACTTGAATTATAGCAGAACATGTGGTTGCACATAAAAATATTTTTTTGAGGAATAATAATATTTGCATCTCTTCAGAGTAGTCCACCTTCAGGTTTTGGTTCGTCTGTCTCTTCTTCCTTTTCTAAACAAAAACGTAATTGATTTAATGTCTTATTCTTCCAAGAAACAAGATACTGACTGTAAGACCGAGGGGAGAGAATGCAAAATTGGGATGTACTGGTGTAAGCATGCTGCCAAGCCTTGCAGTTTCCTTTTGTCATTACGCTAGCTGAAGCTGTTATTTGTCAAATATTGGCTCTTTTGTGGAACTGCCTCTTCTTTTGTTCTCAAAACCCACAAGCCTGGTTTTCACAATGACCATGCTTTTCATCAGCTTTCAATGGGGTCTTGACTGGTCTGTGTTGGGGACTGGCATCTTCCCCCAAAAATGTAAATTTGTTTAATTGAAAAAGTGTATAAGGAAAAAAACAAAACAAAATATGTCACTGTGGGCTGGTGTGCTGTCCACTTCTATTAGAGATAAGCCACTGCAGCTTGTTATTTTAGTATATCGAGATATTGGAATACCAGCACTTCTAAATGATTTACGCGTATGTACCACATAGACTCAGAACGGTAATCTCAAGGAACTCTTAAGTGAGGTTTTCCGTACCGCCGTGCTCCATGCACCCAGATTCCTCAGCGGCAGCTTTTGCTTTCCGGAGCTATTCTGATTTTTTAAAAAATATTATTTATAATAATTGACTTTAATGGTCATGGGTGTAATTCCATAGTCAAGAATGTGCTGTACTGCAGTCTGTTCTGTGTTGGCTCTTCTTTAGATGTGTTCTGAAAAGCAGCTTGTTTGTGTTCCGTTTATTTCTGCATCATGCTAAATGCCTTCCAAAAGCGAGTAGCTTCAAAACGATAAGCATTAACTATTTACTTTACAGGCATGCATCTAAATGATTTGGGTTAAATCTTTGTAGCTCTTCATAGGAACTTTTTAATCCCGACAGTTACGGTAGGTTATCTTTGGCCTATTTCCAGTACAAAGCGTGGCCGTGTTTGTGATTTCACGCTCTCGGCACGGGCTTTGTTGGTCTGCCATGCTTTTAGGTGGCAATGGAAACCTTTTACAGGTCGTCGATGAGCGTAAGAGCTAGTGCTGTATGTTTACAGCTGTTTTTCTTTTACTCTTCATGGAAGTCTTTACATACAATGGCTTTCAATACTTCCCTTTTTAATGAAGCGGGCAGCAGAGGAGAGGAGGTAGCCCCTAGTCCAGTGTGTTAAGAGGAAAGTTTGTTCTGGCCAAAAGCCTATTACAGTGACCTTCAAATTTGCTACAGTGTTGGTGCCATTCATTTATTAACAGGTTATATGTGAATTAACGATAAGAAAATGCACTGCCTAACAGGTAGTTTAATTAATCTGCCCAGACTTTAAGCGCTCAACAAAATTATTTGAGTCTGGCTAAGTTTGCATTTGTTGAAGGGGATTGTGTGTCTTGACTTAGCAGCCCTTAAACTGTCTTCATCTTGGGCTAGTGTCCTGCCAGTTGGGTCGGCTCAGTCCGTGCCAGAGACAAGATGAGAAAGAAGAGGGGAAACGGGAGGAAGGAAGGACAAGCGGCCTCTTTTGGAAGGGAAAAAGCTGTCGAGGCTAACCATGGCTCAAGTCTTCAGAGCAAATCTCTGTGCTGGTTGCTGATGCCCACTTCATTCTTTGCATTACTTTTGTATTTCCAAAGAAGACCTCGTGCTCTCTGATTTTCATTAAATAAAAGAGGGAGTCTTGCTACTGAAGATAAATACAGAAGGGGGATTGCCTCTTATCGTCTTCAAATTTTTCAAATTAATGTTTTTCTGTGCACTGTAACAGGCGTAAACTAAAATGCACATTTTAGATGCAATTTTACCAAGCTTTTCCTTCATTTAATGAAAATTATACACATTTTCTTTCACTTCTGTAATACAGAAAATTAAAAAGTCTATAGGACTTATTAACTTGAAACTTGTTAAGAGCGAGTTTCTCTGTGATGGTAGCTCAGGTTTAGGGAAGTTGAATCTTAAGAATTTCTGTTGTCCATACAATTCCATTTCCCAAAGTCATAGGGGAGCACAAATGTGAAGATACTCGAAGCTGTGTGATTAAAATGTAACAAGAACTTGCCTTGTCAAAATATTTATCCTGAGATTGTCTTTTGTATTGAGCAGACGCACTGAATAAGCTTTGTGCCTGTTTTGCCGTAGACATTTGATGATCGTGATGCAATAAATACTGGTTTCTTGCAGGTACATATGCCTTAAATGATGCATAGAATAAATATGGAAAACAATGCGTTTCAAGAACCTAAAGTTAATATGCTGCTTAATGAGAAGTTGAGACTACAAAAAAGAAATTTAACTGTCTGTACACTGTGCTACTTTGCACTAATCTGTGCTTGGGCAATGAAAAAATAGGCTAGGCTTTTTTTAGATTCTTTATTGTTACAGAATACTGCAGCATTCCAAGTCGTTAAATAAAGGTAGCTCAAAATAGTAAGCCAAATTCATTGAAACCTAAGTGCAAATTTTATTTGTGTTTTCTACCTTGGGCTGCTTTTACAAAACCTAAATAGACATGACTGTCCTTTTAAGAGGATTTGGATTCTTTCCTATACTGGGGAGAAATGCGCTTTTATGTAAAAATGTAATCATGTTTCTCATTATCAAGAAAAAGGGGAAAATCTAATTCTGACAACTTTAACTAGGAAAAAAATGCCTGTGACTCAGTAATTTGACCTCTTTTACAAGAGACGTTACAGTATGATGTGCATCTGGAAAGAACACTCGGTACTGCACTAATGGATTGTTCAAAGGGGGAACAGTATGTGGCAAACTTACTTCAAGGTTTCGTTCTAAAACCTGAACTTTATTGTCAGGTGTAGGTAGTGGCAATGAAGGTGGAAGAGGCAAAGCTGGAGCTAAACTATTCCAGGATTTCCAGATGTTGAGCAGAATCTGGACTCACCCTTGGTGTTTGCAGCTGGACTATATTAGCAAAGAAAATAAGGTAAATTAGATATATCAAAATATTCTCTATTGAGAACTTTCCAAATAAGCTTTGCCAAATGCTAGGTAAAGTTTCGTCAAATTAATGGAAATCTTTGTTGCTGTGGGGTGATTTTGCTGCTGTTTTTGTCATATTTTTGTTTCTGGGTATGTTGTCATTCTTAAAACATTTTAAGGCCAACCCTTTGTAGAACTTACCATTGTTTAAATAAAGAATAAGCAGATGGCTAAGGGTTTAATAAAAGCTTCTGGATGATCGTACTTAATAAAATTTCTGTTTTTTCTCTTTTGAGGGCTATTTTGATGAAGACAGTCTGGATGAGTTCATAGCATCAGATTCCGATGAAACTTCAATGAGCTTAAGTTCTGATGATTATGCAAAGTAATTGAGCTTTTATTTGTTGTTGTTTCTTGGATTTATTTCCCTAATAGAACTTAAGTGATTTCTATAAAAAAGTGAATGTTTATTTTTAATTGTATAGATCTGTTAGAATATGTTCTGTAGCACTAGAATTTTTGAAAAATAATGGGGTGTACAATGTTATCTTTCTAGGAAAAAAAAATCCAAGGGGAAAAAAGTGAAGAAAAGCGGCAGTGATAATGATGTTGAAGTCATTAAAGTCTGGAATTCAAGATCTCGTGGAGGTGGAGAAGGAAATGCAGAAGAACTTGTGAACAACCCTCCGTCTGTTACAAAATCAGATGAAGGTGAGTACAGTATACAAGTCAGTCAAATACAAGGCAGCTTCATTTCGCAAAAGGTGATTTGAGAGGGCTGTCAGGAATTCTGCTTTCCTGCAAATGGGCCAATTCCTTATTTCTGTGAACTGCTGCTATGCTTACAGCTCCTGCTATTTCTAATAATATACTCGTCCCGGGAAAAGGAGGGGCACCAGCTTAGAACTGAGGGTTCTTGTGGCAGGGAAGCTGCATGGTTAATTTTTTAAACTCCTAAGTACAAAACGAGGCAAAGTTAACAGAGGAACTATGCTGCTTTTCATCTCTATTTAAACATATTGGTGAAAGATTGAGGGAAAGATTAAGACATACGCATGTCATTCATGGTTGCACCTGGAATTTGAGATGGATATCGAGCAAGCAGATACAATACA